AGGATTTGTTCTTAAGGAATCCATCTTGGCTTCTAGCAATCACTCTGTTGTTTTCAAGGTGTTTCCATACTGACTTTCTTATAATCTGCTCCAGAATTTTCCCAGGGATTGATGTCAGACTGACTGGTCTGCAGTTCCCAGATTCTTCTTCTTTCCTTTCTTGAATCTGGGAACAACATTATCCCTTCTCCAGTCATCTGGCACTTCCCCCATCCTCCATGATTTCTCAAAGATAATAGGGAGTGGTTCTGAGAGTTCTTTTGCCAGCACCCTTATGACTGTAGGAAGAAGTTCATTGGGTCCTGGAGATTTGAACTCATCCAACCCAATTAGATGATCCATGATCATTTGCCTATCAATCTTGAACTGTCATCCCACTCTTTCAGCCTGTACTTCCCCTTTATCAGGAAGGTCATAAATCTTCTTTTGGGAGAAGATTGAGCCAAAGTAGGAATCGAGTACTTCTGCCTTTTCTTTAACATCTGTTATATTTTGCCATCCACACTGCATAGCTGAACCCACATCTCTCTCCTCTACCTTTTACGTTGGTCATACCTGAAGAAGGCTTTGCCTTTAGCTCCTATGCTAGCCTCTGTTCATTCCCAGCCTTCCCAACATCATTCCTGCAATTCCGTGCTACCTGCCTGTATTCTTCCTTTGTAGCCTGGTCTTTCTTCCACTTCCTTATTATGGCCTTTTGTGTTTTCAGTTCATCCCTAAGTTTTTTTGTGAAGCCTTATAGGTTTCTTCTGTTGTCTTCTATCCTTTTTGTTAGAATTGTTTGTCATTGTTCCTTTAGAATTTCTTATTTTAACAATTCCCACCCATCTTGGTCTCCTTTTCTCATTAGAGTCGCTTGTCATGGGACTTTACTTATCATTGTTCTGAGTTTATTAAAACTGACTTTCCTAAAATCCAGGATATTGGTTGTTGTGGTTGGTTATAGTGCACTCATGATTCTTTACTCACAGTAGTTTGCAGGGGCTGCACACAACATTATTGCCCTCCAGAACCTCTGCTGTGCTTTCCAAATATTTTCTGTATTTTTGTTGTTGTTATTGTTTTATTTTTAGAACGAAGGCAATGAACTATGATTTAGCTGTCACACTAAATTGTGCTAAAACACGTATTTCTATAACTGGATTATACCACTGTGTCACTTTGTGGCTATGTAATACAACATAGAAGAAGGCAAAGAAAGAAGGACTCTAAAAAGAAGCCACTTGTAAGAATTATGCTCTTACTCCCATGAAGAAAATAGAAGACGCCTCATTAAAGCACCAGGTTAAACCTCTCATGTAGAGAAGCCCAGTGACAGGGTTTCCCTTTGCAGAAGATTCCTCTGGGGACTCTGTAGGCCGGAGTAAAGAGCTTGGCAAGCCAGTGGTTCTGCTCCACTGGTGTGTGAGCTGTTTATGCAGATAGAATTTGTACCACTTCTCTTTGTCAGCTGTGGTAGGAACTGGATGTCAAAACTTCAGTCATTCAGATGCTAATGTGCTACAAAGCACCAATAATGAAAGAATCCGTGGGAGGCTTCCATCCTCCTAGATACTGGAGAAAGGGAGAACTGTCTGTTGCAAGGCAAGTTTGTGTATAGCTGAAAGGACACCAGGAAAGTGACTGCAGCTATCACATCTGTATCCTCTATTGCCACTTGATTGCAACACCCAAAGCAGCTTAGTGGCCACTTTACACTAAAGCTTTTGAAGATATACTTGGTTGTCTGGGGTCTTGAGCAGATTACCCATCTCAGGTGTTTTAGTTTCGTGAGGAAATTCTTCAATATATATTTTTGATAAGATGTCATGGATTTTTATTGCATTGTTTTGTTTACTGCTATAAAATCCCCCAGAAAGCTTTATTATTGGGCAGTAAAGAAAATAATGCTAAGTCCCACACTATGACAAAGAAGGGCAGATGTAGGCCTGCTCACATACTGTGACCTGAACAGTTACCTACCAGATCTGTAAAATCTGAAATACACACTGACCTGCATCATGGGCGCTCGCTCTGGATGGCCACAGTTGGCCTGAGCTTCACAGGTCATGCGGGGGTTTCAGCAACTTTAGCTCTGGTGGCTCCTTGACACATGCCTGTTAAATTGCAATCCATGAATCTGCCTTGAGCTGACCTCTGTCCAACATAATTGCCAATACATGTTTACGCATAGGAGTATTGTAATTATGGGGTTTGAATTCCTAGTACTTGCACTGATGAAAGAGATATGACTGTACAGTTGATTTCAAAATACTGGAATCACCTGATGGAGTTCTTTCTTCTTTTCAGGTTCAGCAAAGATGTCACTTTTTTCTATGCCCAGAATACTAATTTGGTAAAGTTGAATGCCCTTTAAAACAAAAGAGCATAAGGGTTTGAACAGGAGTTATGTTGGATCAAGCCTGCAATGCAATATCCATTGGATTTTTTTTCCCTTCGATTTATAGCCTACCTTTTTCCTCAAAGGGCTCAAGGCAGCTTACATCATTCTCCTCCTCCATCTTATCCCCACAACAACAACCCTGTGACGTAGGTTGGGCTGAGAGTCTGTGACTGGCCCAAAGTCACCCAGTTGGCTCCATGGCTGAGCGGGGACTAGAACCCAGATCGCCTGAGTCCCAGTCCCATGCTCTTAACCACCACACCACACTGGCTCTCATTGGAAGCAAACAGTACTGAACTCTGTGGGACTTGTATATGAGTAGAAATGTAAAGAATTTTCTCTAATTTCATTACAAACAGCTTTGTCTTATTAATTATTAATTAATGAACAACGGATTATAATTAATTATAATTATAATAATTTATTGGCCCCTTCCAACCCTGCTATTCTATGAATCCATGAATCTCTTACACTATATTCTACCTTTCTTTCCCTATGCAGAAATTCAAGGCAGCTCACATGGTCTTCCTCCTCTCCATTTTTTATTCACAACAAACTTGTGGAGCAATTTAAACTGACAGTTTGTGACTGGTGCAAAGTCACCCAGCCAGCTTCGTGGCCAAGTGACTTGGGGACTAGAACCCAGTCTAGCACTCTATAAGGTTACCTGAAGGAGCGCTTACATCCATATTTGCCCAGTCGCCCCCTGAGATCGGCGGGAGAGGCCCTTCTCCGGGAGCCCCCCGTGAGAGAAATTAGGAGGGTGGCTACTCGGAGAAGGGCTTTCTCAGCGGTGGCGCCTAAGTTATGGAATGCGCTCCCCAGAGAGGTCCGCCTGGCGCCGTCGTTATTTGCTTTTCGGTGCCAGGCGAAGACCTTTTTATTTAAGCAACATTTTAAATGCTAAATACAATTGAATTTTATCTGGCCAGGGCGGCTTATTTTATAATGTGTGTTTTAATTAAGATTATTTTATATGGATATTTTAACTTATTGTTTTATCTATGTTGTAAGCCGCCCCGAGGCTTCGGCGAATGGGGCGGCATAAAAATGTTTTAATAAATAAATAAATAAATAAAATAAGCACTACTCCATGTTGGCTTTTCTTTTCTTTTCTTTCTTTTTTTTTTGGCGGTGTGGTGGTGGTGGGGGGGAGAATTCTGTCCCATAAAACAGACAGGTTTAAGTGAGTTCTGGAAAATAAATGTGTGTTCCTCTCTTAATAAACAGCAAGGAAAGAACTAGACTGTGAGATTTCTATCAGCAGAATCAACAGGGATTGCACAGAATTTGTTTAATGATGATAAAGTAAGATAAAGGTAAACATTCACTAAGGGCATTATCAAAGGGCATTTGAACCCTTTGTTCTTGTAGAGAACAAATTGTGAATGCAGCCTTAATATTTGAGGAAATATTCTGTCTATACATTCATCATATAAAAGATTTCAGAAATATAGAGGAATGTGTGTTTTCAGCATGATCCTATGGATATTTATTTAAAGACAAGAATTACAGTTCTGTCTTTACATGTTCCAAAAAGGTGGAAGGATGAATTAACTTCCCTCTTTCAAGCTCTCGAAGATGGTGCTCAGCAGTCCATTCCTCAGTCATAGCCATCTGCAACTCCTAAGCAAGACATCTTAAGCCTCGGAGTTCAATGGCTCATACTTCCAAGTAAGTGTGAATTAAAAGTGTAACTTTACAACCCCACCTGATTTTTTTTTTTTTTTTAAAGGAGCAGAATAGGATGCTGAGCAGGAAGAACAGTCACCAAATCCAGCATCAGGTTGCCATGGCAGCCAACCAGACTTTCAGATTACAGGCACAGAAGTGGCTGGGGGGAGCCCAGTAGCTTCAGCTGGCACTGGAAGTAGCACCCCTTTTCTCAGTGGCTTCACAAAGTCGCTCTTAAGTCTGTCGCCTCTAGCAGCAAAGCCAGCCTGAACAGACCACATGAGTCAACTGGAAGGACGTCATTCCTTGCAGCAGGAACTTGGCCCAGTGCTGAGCCCTGCACAAAGTCTTCGGGAATCAGAACAGCCCTGGGCTAGAGGGCACAGAGCAATGTTTAGTTAAACTCCATCTGTTTCCTCTCCTCAGATCCCTCCCCTCCTCCATCCTAGGTCTTCCCAGTGGGTAATCCTAATAAACAGTGTGCTTTTGAAAGAGAGCTGGTGGCCACGGCTGCTCCCAGATATGTTACAGTGCCTGGCCAGTCATTTACCTTCACTTGCAGGGCAGTTGCCTCTCCGTGCCAAATAGCAAGGATCTTCCCCGAATTCCCTGCTGATTGTTTTTTAACTTACACAAATGTTACATAGCTTCAGTCTTAAATCCCACAGTTTCTCCAAACATGATCGTATCTGACTGAATAAAGCCGTCCATTGTTCAGCTTTGCAAGCAAGTCCTATTTTTGTTTCTGATCGTCGGTTGCCCGCTCGGAGCCTCTTGGGAGGAGAGGGGAGGGGAGGGGAGGGGAAACAAGGCCGGCTCAGCAGTGCCCGCCCCCTTCCTTCCCCTTCGCGGCTCGGGCAAGTTCCACCCGCGCTCGCTCGGAGTAGTTTTCCCTCTCCCCGCTCCGGCTTCTTCCCCGCCTGCCAGTCAATCCAGCCCAGCAATGGTGAAGTTGGGGCGCCTTACCGCCAGGCTCGGGCGCTGCCTGGGGTCGCCGCCCGCGGCTTCGCGCCCCGAGCTCGCTCGCAGGGGCGCCTCCGGCGCAGCAGAGGCGGCTCCGACCTCCTTCTCCGCGCGGGAGCGACTGAAGCGGCCAGACGAGTTGCCGGGCCCGGGGGTGCTTGGATCCATCTACTGGCTGTTCCTGAGGGGCTACCTGCTGCACACGCACCGCCTGCAGGTGTGGGAAGGAGGTGCTCGCCCGCCTGGGCGCGTCGGGCCGGGGGCGGGCGAGAGGAGAGGAGAGGAGAGGACGGGCCTCGGCGGGGCGCGACTGGCTCGGGCGGGGGGCCCGTCTGGGTCTCCCCCAGCGCCGGCCGGCTTGGCACAGGTAGGAAGAAGGCCGGTGCGCTGGCCCTGAGGCTGCGGGGACCAGCTCCCTTGCAAGTCCTGGTGGACCCAGAAAGCTGACGTCTCGCCCCGGAAGCAAGCGGGGCACTGCGCGACCCTCAGGACCTGGTGGAGAAAGGACAGCAGCTGGCTGGCATCAGTCAGTGCTTGACATGGGCACTGGAGTTCCAACGTACTGGGATGGGGCATTTTGGCACAGATAGCCAAGTCACCGCTTTATTCTATCCAGTACTCGTCAGGTGTTTTGGACCACAGTGACCATAGTCCCTGAATATTTGCAGTGGTAGTGGGGGCTGTTGGGAGTGGTGGTCCAAAACTCCAGGGTTACCCACCCACTGGCCTTAGATCAAGAAGGTTATCCTGCCGCTCAGGAGCACAATGATTTGGGGCTCAGGCCCAGAGGACCATCCCCCCCATAAAAAACCCCCACAGGCTTCCGTATGTTAACTTACAAAGTCTCTGTGTTGCTGTGTGTATCTTTAAAGTACTGTTTCATAAGGGTACTCCTATAAGTAAAACAGGGGACTGCAGGCGGCCCAGTGGTTTAAACCGCTGGGCTGCTTAATCGAAAGGTCACTGGTTCAAATCTGCACAACGGAGTGAGTTCCTGCATGCAAATGCAAGTAGATAAAAAGGTACCACTTCGGTGGGCAGGTAACAGTGGTCTGTGCACTTCGGTGTTTAGTCATGCCAGCATGACTGGACGTAACGTCAAGGGGAAACCTTTACCTTATATGTAAAACAAGATGTGCTGGCAGGGGAGATTAGAGCATTTTATTTAAGAAAAAAACCAGGCAGAAAGATTCAAGGGGGACAGGCAGCAGGAGGTGAAACACATGGGGGCAAAAGGCCAGATAATTTGGGGAGATCAGATCCAACAAAGACCATCAGGGCCCCTGCACCTTTATTTCAGCAAGTGCCCATGGACAGCAGGTGGGGTGGGTTTCCCCCCATACATTTTGTGCTCCAGCCCTAATGGGCTTCTGCAACTCTACATGATCAGATGCAGTCAAACTTTAATTTTATTCATGTGCCATCTGCAAGGTTGATCAAGGTTTTTTTTAATTAGTAGATTTATATCCTGCCTTTTTCTTTTTTAAAGAACTCAGAGCAGCTTGTTTCATTCTCCTCCTCCTCTCAATATTATCCCCACCTGTGGGCTAGTTTGGGCTGAGAGTCTGCCCAAAGTCACCTAGTTAGCTCCATGGCTGAGCAGGGGCTCCAACCCTGATCACCTGAGTGCCAGACCATGCTCTTAACCACTATATCACACCAACTCTCATCTACAAATAAATTCTGTTTGGCTTCAGTGTTGTAGCACGGAGGGCAGGAGGCATATGGAACTAATTTGAGAACATGGGAAATCGAGGGCCAAGTGCAAGTAGAAGCAGATTCTTGAAGCAATTGTGCACTTTTACTGCAGTTCCTGGCAGGAGTTTCTGGGCAAGATGTTTGACACTCCTAGTCCAGTTGCAGAACCTGGCTGAAAAAGCCTGAACTGTTCTTTGTCTAAACATGCATAGGATTGTGCCCTGAATATCTTTTCCCATCTGCAGATAATGTGATGGCTTTCCTCAGAGCTAAGAGTTAAGTTTCCCCTGGGCTTTTGTGCTGCCTCCCATCCTTTTGAATCTGTATCTGTTCCTGCTTGGTTTAGACGGATAGTGCTGCCTGTACCTGCCCACCGAAGTGGTACCTTTTTATCTACTTGCATTTGTATGCTTTCGAACTGCAAGGTTGGCAGGAGCTGGGACGGAGCAACGGGAACTCACCCCGTTGTGCAGATTCGAACCAGCGACCTTTCGATCAACCAGCCCAGCAGCACAGCGGTTTAAACCACTGTGCCACCTGCTGCATAGTGCTGCCTAAAAAAAAATCATAATGCTACAGTGTGACTCAGTGAAAAGCAGGATCCCCTACAGATCACAGTAAAAGCAGAATGTGATGACAGGGAGGCTACAGAAAACGGGCAGGCTGGAACACTGCTCTGCACGCACCACCGTGTGTCCTGCCCCATCCTCAGTGGCAGCACTGGCTGCAGGCATGGCTTGCACAGGAACTCACAAGGGCACTGACACTGTGGCCCTGACTCGCTGTTGCCCCAGCCTGGTGCTTGTGCTCTCAGACAGGTAGGCAGCTGGCAGCCCTTGGCCTCCCTTCAGCAACTCTCTGCAAGCAGGCAGCTCAGGCTTCTGCCAGGAGTGATCCCTTCCCCACTCAGCAGCTTGCTGGACAAGGAGGGAAAGAGAGATGGGGTCTCAGAAAAAGGGAGTGGGCGAGAGAGTCAGGGAGAAAAAGTGAAAGAAAAGAGGCGGGGTGTTAGCAAGAGAGAAGGATGGCCCTGTCTGTCTTTGGCTCACGCTTCCCACCAGCACTGGCATGCAACCCCCAGCAGACTGCACATGAGGAAACGGGGAAGAAAAGGTTCCCTATCCCTGTTTCAGAAGAGAATTACGCAAATGACCGCAAGGGTTGCCAACGTGATCAGAAAGCCAGGCTTTTGGTCTGCCGCATGGCTGAAATTTTAAATCCTGTATACGGGCATAAGGGGGGAAATGCAGGGTTGGCGACAGACTAGTACAGGAACCAGCACTTGGGAGTGAAGGCTGGACCTATTCCAGCAGCCATCTGCCCAGGGCCCAAGAGTTAAACAAAAGTTCACTCGCTCTCATATGCTGAGTTTGGCAATGCTTTCAAAGTCAAATTTCTGCCAGGGGATTTGTGTAACAGTTCAGAGGGCGTGATTCTATATTATGATAAGGGGTAGCGGGGGCGGGGGGGGGAGCAGTTTGGCCACATTGTGCAAAACACAAAACTGGGTAGGATTACCCAGCCAGCAAGACAAAAGGTTCAAGAAGGTAATCTTGCTTGAGAGATTATGTTTTGCATTCCTCTAGAAATAAGGTACTAAAACGTTTTGCCGAGATGTGAAGAAGAAAATAAATGAAAGAAGTAATTGGTGGCCACACCTAAAGGTGTGGTCATGAGGTCATGTTTTGGATTGCCAGGCAGTCTTGTGAAACCTGCCAATGATACAGCAGGTGATTGTGAGAAACAAAATGCTCTGATTTGTTTTGTTTTACAAAATACTTTTCCCCTGGAAACGTGGCTGTTTCCTAATAAACAAAAATATATTTAGTAGTTAAATAGCTTTATGTGTCCAGTTGCTTATCAGTTGTTCTAAACATTAGGCTGAAGAAAGTTACATTGCTGAGGCTAATCTGATTTAATGATGTGAAACTACATAGGTGATAGCAGACTAACAGAACAACTATATGCATATTTACTTGGAAGTAAGCTCCACTCCCAGGGCAATGTGTATAGGATTGCAACTTTGAATAGAAAGAAGAAAACACATTGTGCTGCTCTCATTAGATTTTAGTAATAATAAATAGCTGTAAAAGCCATTCCCCAACATCCATTACACCATAGAACAGGACCAGATATCGGTATGCTCTCCCTGTAGGTGTCATCTGTTACTTGTAAGCTGCCTAGGAAGACCTTTGGTAGTTATAGGTGGCATATAAATATGTGAATAAATAAATGGTTACAATTGGCCATGCTGGATGAGGCTGATGGGAAGGTACCAGTTGCCTATCCCTATCTTAGAATGACTCAGGAAACAACCCAAGCTTTGGCTATTGAGAAAAGAACACAGTATTTGGCAATTCCTGTCAACTTCTGTGGTACAAAGTAAACAGTCTGCAGCAGCAAACATTATTTAATTGCACTGATATCCTGGCTTTCCTCCAGGGAGTTCAAGGCAATGAACAGAGTCCTCTGAACAACTCTGATTGGAACTTATTGGATACAGTAGTGCTGATTCTCAGAGAAGTGAACCCTGATAGCTGGACAGCTACATAAAGAATCATAGAGGGGCCAAGAAGGTCATCGGTTCAGAGCAGGATTCCAAATTACACCATCTTTCTCAGATGGCTGTCCAGCTGCATCTTGAATGCCTTTAGTGTGGGAGAGCCCATGACTTCCCTAAGTCACTGGTTCCGTTGCCATACTGTCCTAACAGCCAGGAAGTTCTTCAGCTGGAATCTGACTTCTTGTAACTTGAGCCCATTATTCCACGCCCTGAACTCTGGGATGATCAAGAAGAGATCCTGGTCTTCCTTTGTGTAACAACCTTTCAAGTACAACCTCAGTCTTCTTGAGACTAAACATGCCCAGTTCTTTCATCTCTCCCCATAGGGCTTTGTTTCTAGTACCTGGATTGTTGCCCTCCTCTGCATCCTTCAGAGGTGCCCAGTACTCCAGTACACAATACTCCAGACAAGGCCTAACTAGTGCTGAGGAAAGGGGGACTAGTATTTCACAGAATTAGGAAGTGATACTTCTATTGATACGGTCTAAAATAGGATTTGGCCCTTTTGCAGCCACATCATATTGTTGACTCATATTCAGCTTCCAAGATCCTTCTCATTTGCAGTATTGTTGAGCCAAGCATTCCCCATCTGTAACAATGCTTTTGATTTCTTTTTCCTAGATACAGAACTTGGCTTTTGTCCTCTGCCACATACATGACTGCAGGGTCACAAAGTATAGAAACCAGCTATCTAAAATCAAATTATATTACTAGCCAAATAACCCAGTGGATTAGGGATCATTAGATGGATTTATGAAGCTGCTTAGTTGAGTCCAGAGATTCTAGAGATTCCACATTGAGCCCAGCGATTCCACATGGTGGTATATTATCCATTAGCAAGGTCAGGAACAGGATTCTGGATTGAATTCAATGTTGGGTTGCCCTGGACTTACTACAAGAGGTAAATGCTATTGAAACAATGACCACAGTGCTATCAGACTTAATAAATCTTTTAGCAAAACATTGGCAAAGAGGGCCAATGCAATCTCTTTACAACAGGAAGCTTCTCTAAAAGAAGAGAATTGGTAAAAAGAAAACCAAAAGGGGAAGACAAGAGGCCTTCCATGTTCAGCAATTACTCAAAAGCTCAGCTAGAATATATACCACAGGCTAGGAAAGGTAACACAAGTACAAGAGGTCACCAGCATGGTTTATAAGCAGCATCAAGCAAGATTAAGTAATAAGAAGGCTTTCTACACCTTCAGAAAATAGAAGTCTTACCTAAATGAGAAAAACAAGTTTGTACAAGAGAGGCAGGCAGACAGTGACGGGGTTCACACAATTCATTAAGCCATGATGGTTTAGCATGTTTCCTGAATCCAGTGATCTTTCCACAAGGTGGTTTATAAGCCACCCAACTAGCCATGGCTTGTAGTAGGGTTTATTAAACCCACACCTGGAAGCTGTGGTCAAGTAAAAACAAAAACCAGAGTCCCTTGGTAAGAATGACAGAAAACCAAGGGGCTAGTGAGCAACCACCTTTCTTATGAATTTCAATCTGCCAAAACAACACCTGAAGACTGCTGGGAATGGCCTCCCCCATTGCAAAATGGGGGTATCCCCTATCCTGGGAGCAGGCTTGGTCCTTGCAGTCACAAACCTCATGCCAGCCTCCCTGCTCTTCTTCCCCTTCCTCACCCCGCGTAGTCCTGCAGTTTCACAGAGGACACTGCAGAAGCATCAAGATGTCACAGGAGCCATTTAGCACCAGCTGCAGGTTGACTTTTGAAAGAAGTACCTCTGTGTTATCCAGGCAAGGGAAAGTGAGGGCAGCCCAGGCTCACATGACCACCACCCAGTCTGCTGAGATTCTGTTGCAAAGAGTGCTTTCCACACCCCCTGCTTTTATGTATTTGTTTATGCTGTTTGAAAGAAATTGTAGTGGGCTGCGAATCTGCAATGTTTCTTGGACACTTGTCTGCATTGACAGGATGTACATAGCAGAGGCTCCCCTTAAAGAACCCCAAGAACCTGAACAATTAGTGTCTTGGGGGCATTTCTTCAGTTCCTTCCATCTTCCAAGCAGGATCCAGGGTTGTGGGGGGAGTAATAGGATGCCCAAATGCCCCCTCAGTTGTGCAAACTGCTCAGTGGAGAGCGCCTGAGGAAAGGGCAGCTCCTGCTCTGCTGCCTTGTCTGACAGGCCCAGAGGGATTTTAACGGTAAGGCATGGCCACCTCCAAGGGATTAAACAAGTCATGGGAACTCAGCCAATAAGAGATGTGAAAAAGTGTTTGTTTGTTTGAAATATTTATACCCTGCCCTATACCCAAAAGCATCTCAGGGCAGCTTACAAAATAACTAACTACAGAGGCAGATAACTAACTACATCAAGGCCAATGATAAAGGATTACTTAACTGTAATTCAGAAGCAAGAAACCAGCTACAGAGGTAGGTGGAGCATTGGGTGAGAACGGAGTTAAAGACATACCAGTGCAAGCTGAGGAGATTGCAAAGAAACCAAATGTATTCAGCTTTGTGTTCACAGCAGAAAATAAAGGGCAGATACGTGGGCCTGAAGTGATGATTTCAGGAGGACAATCTGAGCAAGTAAGGCAGATAGTGGAGACAAAAGGTTAAGTTCCCAACCCTGCTGGCCAACTGAAAGTTGATAAATCATTTGGCATCAGATGGTATCCATCCTAGTGTTCTTAAACAACTCAAATTTGAAATTGCTGACTTACAAAATGGGTAACATGAAACATAAATTTTCTTACAAAAATCTCCAGGAGGCTGGAGAATGGCCAATGCCGTACCAATTTTTAATCAGGATCCAGGAAATTACAAGCTAGTTAAGCTTGACCTTTGTTCCAAGTAAATCAGTTGAAAGGTAATAATCTAGAAGGACAAACTCTGCTGAGAAAGAATTATCATGGCTTCTGCAAAGGTAAGTGTGGTTTACGTAAGATTTCAATAATTCTTTGACAGTGCCAGTGAACATGTAGACTGGGATTATTTAGTAGACTTGAATTTAGTCTACTTGAACTTCCAAAAAACTTTTGATAAAAACCTTCACCAAAAACTGCTGAACAAACTGAGCAGTCATGGAATAAAGGAGACATTTTATGGTTCTCCCAATAAATTCTCCCAATGGAGAGATGTAACTACAGGGTTGTTTTGGGACTATGCTTTTCAACTGACTCATAAATGATCTGCAATTAGGAGTAGTCAAGTTTGCTAATTTCACCCAATTATTTAGGGTGGTTTAAACAAAAAGGGATTATGAGAAGTTCCAAAGGGATTTCTCCAAACAGTGAGAATAGGCATCAAAATAGATAAAGTGGTTCAATGCAAGCAAGTGTAAAATAACACGTTAAAGGAAAAAAATCCCAGTTTCAGGATTAGGCTGATGGGATTTGAGCTAGAAGTGAGTAACCCAAAAAGAGATCTCAGGGTTGCAGAAGGTAGCTCAAAGAAAATGTCGTCCAAATGTGGTTGCTGGGGGTGGGGGGGAGCCAAACTCCATGTTAGGCATAATAAGGAAAGAAACTAGAACTAAAACTGACCATATCATACTGCCCTTATACAAATCTATGGTGCAACCATACTTTGAAGACTGTGTACAGTTCAAGTCTGAACACCTAAAGAAGCATATCATTGAGTTGGAAGAAGTGCAGAAAAGGGCAGCTAAAATGATCAAGGGGAGGAGCAACTCTCCAATGGCTTCTCTACGCAGTGCTTTAACCTGCTGCTTTACTAAGACTTCTGTTTTCATTGTGGGTGGAAAAAACGCATCCTTTACGCAGGCTCCACCCCACCCCACCCCATCCCACCCCACCCCGAGGTTTGTATTTCTCAGCTTTTCTGTATATATTATTAAGCAACCACAGGATGGCATTGTGCTGGAGTTGCACTGTAGCAAATTTGTGACTTCTCTCAAGACTTTTGTTCCAGAATGTTGCAATTTAAAATTAATACCAGATTTTCCTTGCTAAACAAAAAAGTAAACAGAGCTTTGAGTATGACAATAGTGTGAAAAGGCACTCCAAGTTTCTATGATGGAATGATCACAAAAGCACCAAAAATGCCTCATGTAAAGATGTCCTGCTGGCCAAGATTGAGTAACTTAGAAGAAAGAAAATTGAGGGGAGACCTGACTGAGACATGCAGAATTATGTGTGGTGTGGAGAAAGTTGATAGTGAGACATAGTTCTCCCCCTCCTATGATAAGGAAACGAGGATCTTCCCAAGAAGCTGATTGTGGGAGGTTCAGGCCCAAGGAAAGGAAATACTTATTCACACAGCACACAGGTAACTCTGGAATTTGCTCCCACAGGGTGAAGTGATGGCTACAAATTTGGGCAGCTTTAAAAGGAGGTTGAGCAAATTCTTGCAGGAGAAGGCTATCAGTGGCTTCTAATCCATGATAAAGGACAAATATGTAAACACCCCCTACACACACAAACGTATTTGTTTGACCTCTGGGAATGGCCTCATGGCATGGCTAACCCCAATGACCTTATCTCTTCCAGGTCATTTCCAAGAAGCTCTATGGCCCCATTTGGAGATCCCAGTTTGGCTCTTACGTTAATATCAACATTGGCAGTCCTGAAATCTTAGAGGAGCTGTTGCGTCAGGAAGGGAAGTATCCCATGCGGAGTGACATGGCTCTCTGGAAGGAACACCGGGACAAACGTCAGCTTCCTTATGGCCCCTTCACAGAGTGAGTATACATTAGCCAAATATATCCTAGACCACTCTGCCACTGCGCAGATATACCAAGGCTTCTATGCAAATAAACAAGGAGACACAGAGGCCTTCCGTGAGGGTTAGAGAATGTGGAGCCCTCGTGATGTGGTTGGACTGCAGCTCCGATCGTCGGTCACCTTCTGCTCTGCTTGGGGAGAGCTGATAGGAGTTGCAGTCCAACAACGCCTCAGGGAGTCCCTGTTCCACCCCACAGCGTTACACCATGAGCCTTTCTAGGCCACCTTCCCTTGTAACAATTTCCAGAAAGTCGCCCACTGTCGCAGAAACAAAGCAGTTAGCAGCTCTGTTAAAACTAATAAAGTATTCCAGCAAAGCGCCACAACAATGTATTATGCATTGTCTGTCTGCCAGTTTGTTTTTTATGTAGGCTGGCAGATGTGGCTAAGGCTGTGAGTAGCCGGGGCTTAACATCAAGAAAAGAACCATCCAACGAGCTAGACGGTGCAACCTGTACAGGTTAATCACAGATGCAGACTGTGCACGCGTCGGAGTGCTTCTGGCAGTCACCAGGCAGAGAGCTGCTAAAGGTCTGCTGATCGTACATCTGGAAAAGCTGCTCAGCCACTCGTTGTCCTGAGATTCCACAAAGCATTGTGTACTTGCAACACTATTCTATAGCACAACTTTGCTCAAGCTTTTGTGTTGGCCACACTGACTTGGCATTCTGGGGGGTTGGGGAGAGCTGCTACAGAAACACGCTTCTCTCATGAAAGCTGAGATTCTCATGGGGCCAAACTGAATTTTGTAGCAATGCTTTGCTTCCGTAATGTGATCGCACAAACCCTGGATTTGCCTGCTACGTGCTTCCCATTTTTGATCTGGGAGGGAGAAGAAGAATGTATACAGTGACTTGAAGGGTATATTAAAGAGCAAGGAAAGGTGCAAAAAAGCGCAACCAAATAACCAAAGGACTAAAGTCCTCTGAGACTGTTTAGCTTAGAAAAAAGACAAGAAGAGGCATAACAGAGATGCACAGAATTAAGCATGGTATTAAAAAGAATTTATTTCTCTCCCTCTGCTCTATTGAAACTTATCAGGAAATCATGGATTCAACTTTAAAAGATAACAGATGTAAGCCTTAGTAGGCTTAGAACTTGTGTTTAACATTTGATTTTAAAATAGGTTATTTTTAAATGAAGCAAACTGCAATTTTACATTTAAAGAAATCAGATCCAATTATTGTGGTGCCCTGCCCCATAGGGAACCAAGCCAGTTCTCGAGGCTATCCTAGGAGAAGATAGGTACTTTCCCTCCTTGGGATTTACTTGCATTCAGTTTAGGTAGCCAGGCATAGGTTCAATTAGATTCCTGTGAAACAGAGAGAAAACTTTGTAAAACTGGATCATAAATTCACAAATCAATCAGTTTAAGTACATTAATATCACACATTTACCAATAATAAAGCACTTCCAGCGCAAATCATATGGCCCCTATGGAGGTCATGTACTACTTCTTTGGGTTCCCTGGGTAGTCTAACAATTCTTTTACCCCAGTAGCAGAGAACAAAGATGGATTTCTCAGACACATGTGGTTGTCTCTGCTCTGTTGTTTTGCACTGATGAAGATGGCACCCAGCCAAGTACTAATAGTCATACCTGAGCTTTAAGGATGACCATTTCTCTCTGGATTTCTCTATTTCCCTGCTGTAAAATTCCCATCCCCAAGGTCCCTCTCATGTGATCATTCTGCCAAGGCCCTTAGCCATGTTCTTAGATCTTGGGGACTTGAGGTGCTTCTAGATCAGACTGTAATGGTACCATCACTACAGATGTTGGATAAATCCACAATAGATTCAAATAAGGTTGGGTTGCCCTGAATCTGACCTGTGGATTCCACAGTAGACCATTTTTTTCTGAATTGCATAGATTCCACCATTTGGAGGGTGGGGGAGAGATTTGGACATGTGCAGACTTCTACAAATGCATATTAACACACTAGCACACATATGCATTAGTGTTAGTGCACCTTTGCAACAGGAACAATGGTTTTGCATATCCCTAAAAAAATCTGATTCTATCAGTGAGCAGACAACAAAATGAATGCTGTTTGCCTGGCAATTTTGTTAAGGAATTTAACAAAATCTGTACATCCCTGGCCATAGCCCTTCCTCATTCCCAAAAGTTTATAATTGTGTTCTACTTGTGACAGTTCTCTGGTTTTTTGTTTGCTTGTTTGTTTGTTTGTTTTAACAAATCTTCTGTCTTTTTGTTTAACACAGGAAATTAGTTAAGGAGAAAACATTAGAACAGTTGCCCAGTGCCTTCTGGTTGCTAGTACTCGGAGCCCTCTGTCTGGAAGCACACTTGTTCCAATGGGAAGTGGTACCCCATTGTAGCCCCATGCTTCTCCTGGTCAGCTGAGTGAGCAAGCCAGCCTTTGGGGACTAAAGAACTTAGGCCTGCAGGTTCCCCAATGATCCTGCTCCTTTCCCCTTTCCTTCAGTGCTTTCCCAGCTTTTGCAGTTTCTTTCCCAGCCTAAGGTGTCATTACTGGCCGGAAATGCTTTAAGCCAACATATGGAAGTATTTTGGCCTTTCACATGTTGCTTCTGGCTGCACCCACCTCTGGGGCAGTATGGCTTCCAAGAGTGTCTCCTAAGTTGAGTTTGGCCCCTGCACCAAAAAATACCCCTGCTTTTCAGCCTGCCTACAGGGATGGAAAGGACCCCGACGGTGCTCTCATTCCTTGTAGGTGGGAGCTGCCTGAACATACCCCATGGCAGGAGAAAGGCACCTGGTGTCCAGCAGATGCTTTGGACCACATTCCCAACATGGTCAACAGTGAGGAACTATGGGAATTGTAGTCCAGAAACTTCTAGAGGGCAACAGCTACGTATCCCAGCTTCTGGGATAGCTGGAAGAACTAGGTGCATTGGACAGCACAAGAACTAGGAGTGGATACTGGGCAATCGGGGAAATGTGCTCAGGCTGGCTGGTGGTCTGCCTGAGTTCCAAAGGACATTTGGGTTTCTTACATGCCCTCCCCTCCCTCTCTCTCATTCCCAGGGAAGGGGAGCGCTGGTACCGCCTGCGGCAGGTGCTGAACAAGAGGATGCTCAAACCCTCAGAGGCTGTGTTGTATGCAGATGCCATCAATGAGGTGGTGTCTGACCTGATCGTGCTTCTGGAGAATGAGAGGAAAAAGAGCCCCACGGGCGTAATGGTCCAAGATATGGCCAATATATTTTACCGATTCGCCTTGGAAGGTGTGTGGCCCATTATGATGTAGGACAGCAAGTTCTTTCCTTTCTGTGATTGTTCTGCGGCTCTCATGGTAGGAGGGGGCCAAATCTCAGTGGCAGAACACCTGTTTTGCATACTGAAGGCCTTGGGTTCAATCCCATGCAACTTCAGGTAGAGAGAAGCTGCCAGTCCTTGCTGACAATACTGGGCCAGATGGTCTGGCTTGTTATCAGGTAGCTTCTTGTGCTCTTATCCTGGGTGATGTGCGGGTGAAGGCTGAGCCCTTCCAACATCTGGAAGGTATTGGAATAATCCCAGGTATATCAGTGGGATCTCAGCACACCTAGACAAATTAGGCATAAAGTTAAATGCACCTTCTTTCTCTTAAACTGTTTGTTCCATGGACAGGAATATAGGAAGCATATTATATTTCCATTTTAAAAAAAATGAAATGGAATTAAATGCAAAGAAGATCGTGTCCAGTTTGACCCTGAGGCACTTTCCTTGCCCCACAATGGTTTGGAGGAAGACCCTGCAGAGCAAACAGTGGAGTCAAGTGAAGTTGCCTGTAAGCTTTGCTCTAGACGTGGGAGGAGGAAGCCAGGACCTCATTTGCTATGGCACTGTTGCGGTTTCATGGAAACATGGAGCTGCTGGTAACATTCTTCTCAGAAAGGTATACGGGGTTAAAATTGCAGCTGCTCAAGGTCAGTGGAACTAAGCAAGGCAACTGATCCTGGGATTCAGTTCAGGGAGGGGCTCCAATGCAGTTATGAACCTGAATTAGTACTTATATGTAGCGTGTGTTTGCATGCCCATGTGTAAATATGGATATGAAGCCTTGGGGGACCGCCCCTCACTTTTCTCCTTTTATTTCAGAATGGAGAGTTTTAGGATGGGATGCCTTTTCTAAAATACTCAGCTATTCAAACTGTGGGGGTTGTTTTTGTTTGGTTTTTAAAATAAACATATGCAGGAAGAAAAATAATCTTTGAATCAAGCAGGTGGGATGCTGTAAGTTGCAAGCAGTCTTTCAAGTAGTGCAGTCAGAATAGAAACTTCAGAGGAGGGAATGGTGTGACATATTGTGAAATAAAGGTAATCCATTTGGGGAGGCAGGTGTTTGTGTATTAGATCTTATTAACACAAGGTTAAAGTTCTTCTAAAATGGAGGATATAACTAGCAGGTAGATAGGCACTGCCACCATGAACCTTTAGGGAAATCAGGTAAAGCAGGGTCTGGCCATTTGCAGCCTTCCAAATGTTGCCAGACTGCAACTTCTGTCAGCCCTTGCCAGAACAACTAATGCTGAGAGTTGATGGGAGATAAAGTCCAACAACATTTGGCGGGCTGCAGGTCGCCCTTCCATGATGTAATGAATGCCTATTCCCAGAAATGTATCCCAAATGATTAAGCTACATTGGAGTAAATAGATTAATGTGACCTCTTAGGATCTAGCTCAATGGGTATCTCTACAATGGGGTTTGTGGGGTGAAGTTGATAAAGATGAGTATCATACCCATGGTTGTCCAAGTTTTCCATGGGAATCCTTTATTTTTACCTAGCAAGTACATTCAAAAACATAATGTTCTGTTCCATAAATTTCCATGGGGTTCCTTCCTGCCGCAAATTTCCTTGAAAAAGGTGCAACTTCCAATTAAATAACATGGGTTTGGCCTTCCAAGATCTTGCTTTTTATCACAGGGATTATTTGTTGAGGGCTGCAAATGGCCCACTCCTGATATAAAGGACAGTAGATTGCTCTTCCTGGGGCCACCATCTACACTGTGCCCTTCAATCCATTCCCGTCCTTGGTCTGTTGCTTTCCAGAGTACAGCCCTCTTGCTGTCATCATGGCTAGCCCAGTGTCATTCTCCCCTGGTGTCCCAGGCTCAGCTCTCCTTCCTCTCAGCCACCATTCTGCACATACCACGGTTTGATAAGGCCCATTCTCACTCCTCTGCAGCTTCTTTCTCTGATGGCTGCCATTTTACGTAGCATGACTCAGGGAGGATTTCCACTAGACCTTCCAGCTTGCTTTTCTCCTCCAGGCATCTCCTACATCCTCTTTGAGACCCGCATTGGCTGCCTGGAGAAGCAGATTCCTGGCGAGACACAGCGCTTTATTGATGCTATTGGCTTCATGTTTAAGAACTCTGTCTATGCCACCATCCTACCCAAGTGGACCCGGGATGTGCTGCCTTACTGGAACCGCTACCTGCAGGGCTGGGATATTATCTTTGGCTTCGGTATGTGAAAGGCAGGGATCCAGGATAACTCTTCCTCTGGAGCCAGAATTAGGTTGGTGTCTTTTGAGAAGCTGGGATCTAGTCTTCCTTCCTGAGGAAAGTGGGAGGACATGTGATCACCCTGACCATTACAATGTGTACAAGACGGCAGGAAGCAAAGAAATGATTGGTCAGCAGGAGATCCCCAGCCCCTGGGATGGACACTGTTAGAACAAGCCCAAATATTGTCCCCCTGTAGCATGTTCTCTTTCATTGCTGTAGGGAAAAAAATGATAGATAAGAGGATGCTGGAACTGGAGGAGCAGCTGGCACGGGGTGACGAGATCTCAGGCTACCTATCCTACCTACTGTCCAGTGGAAGGATTAGTCGTGAAGAAGTCTATGGCAGTATAGCTGAGCTCCTGATGGCTGGTGTGGACACGGTAGGATATAGACATCTTCGACTGCCTGTGGGAGTGTCCATAGCCTCATTAGAGAGCTTGTTGTCACTGACTAATTAATATACCTTGTGTACAATGATACCCATTAAATTGTGCCATTCCTGATATGTGCTAGAAGCTGAAGAACATCAGTACTTAAGAAGGTGCTCTTCACCCATGCCTCTCAGAGCTTAGGCCAGGAGTGGGCAACCTGAAGACCCCATCCCTGATTTCTTCAGACTTCAACTCCCATAATCACCAGCTAGCATGTCCAATGATCAGGAACTGAGCTGTAGTCCAACCAGGTTGCCTGCCCCTGGTTTATGCAACTCGAGGAAGAATGTGCCTTGCTGTCAGTGTCATGTCCAAAGCCTTGCAGTCATCATCAGGTGCTTCCACTCCAGTGGAAGGCTGACCCTGATGACCCGCCACCACAATGACCCACAGAAAACACCTGGAAAACAAGGCTTCTGAAAAAGCTAGCCTCTCCTTAGAACTAGCCGTGTGACAACACAGATGTCTGATAAGCAAACATTTCTTTCTGAACCACTGACTCTAATCACAAAGTGTTTGATGAGTCATACTTTGACTGAAGTTATTAGTAGTCATGACTAACTAGCTTAATTCCCATTCATTTAAATAGCTCTTTTGGTATGACCATTCTCGATCCAACAATGAATTCCAGTTTTCTTTGTTCTTATTTTTTGATTCAGTGCAAAATAATTATCTGTTCAACAGCTTATTTTATTTTTTATTTGTTATATCACTTAATATAATAAAATGTCTAAGCAGTTTATATATAAACATAATAAATTAGCTGTTTAATATGCATTATTAATAAACAAGCACAGTTATAACTTTTCTAACTGAATAAATTTTGTGCTATATAATCTTCACATAATATCTGTATGTAAGTGCAGTATTATTATTATTATTATTATTATTATTATTATTATTACTATTATAACATTTCTATGCCGCCCCTTGCCGAAGCCTCGGGGCGGCTTACAACACAATAAGATACAATACAATACAAAATAACAATATAAAATTAAAATTAATAATATAAAATAAATAAATAAAAAATATAAACGATATAAAAGAAGTTATAAAAGAAAAGAAGAAAAGAAAAGGAAAGAAAAGAAGTCGTCCTGGCCAGATGAATAAGTGAATATTGTTAACAATTAAAATGATGTTTAAATAAAAAGGTCTTCACCTGGCGCCGAAAAACAAATAACGATGGCGCCAGGCGGACCTCTCTGGGGAGCACATAAGTGCCAATAAAACAGGGGGCAGGGGTGGTGCAATTTTACCTATTTGCAAAAAGCTAGGGAATCGAAAAAGGGAGCAAAGGGTTTATATTATACATTAAATGTGGGCTATAGGTTTTAATCTGTAGATTAGTCAAAATTTTAGTGCAGTCAAAGCTTCAGCAGAAAAAATATTTGCTCAATGGGGTTATGACTTAAGGGCATAGCTACTTAATTCTTAGGCTGTGTTAGTTTGACTGGATTGCACCTCCCATTTGTATCTCCCACACGATCAAAGTAGCAACTGAAGCCTTGCTCTGCATTCACTCACCAACTAAAACTAGCAGGTGGCTGTAAGAGACAAAGCTTTCCTGGTCATGGCACCCATGCTGTGACATGCCCTGCCTAAGGATGCTCACCTGCTCCCATCCTGATGTAGCTCCTGCCACATGGCAGATGCCTGGTTCTTGAGGAAGGGGACTGAACTTGCCTGCAGTTGCCGCTTTTAGAGACATTATTGTTTGGTATAGAGATGTTACTGTTTAGTATAGTTTTTGTTAGTTGTGTATTAACTTTTGCTTGGTTGCATTAACTGCCTTGAAGTTTTTTTAAGAGAGAGACAATGTATCCTATGCTAATTGCAGTACTTCTAGAAGAAAGCATCTATAGTGAGTTTTTTGCTATTATGCACAGTGGCTTCAATTGTTTTGATTAAATAATTTAAAATTCATATTTGTTATAATCCTTCCGTTAAGGCAGAGGTTTCAATTTTTTGAGTAAGGTTAAACTAGAGGAGGAATTTTGCCAAAGCCACCCATTTCAGCTGTTAAAGTAGGAATCTGAACCTAGGTTTGAGCTGCTGCAGGCTAGTTGCTACACCTCAGACTCATGAAAATGAACCATCTTTGGCATGCAGAAGTCACTTCTAGGATGCTGCCTCCTGTTTACTCCTCCAGAGCAAGCATCTTCACTCCATCCACTTGCTTTGCCCTTTCAGACATCCAATACCCTCTCATGGGCCATGTACCATCTGTCCAAAAATCTGGACATCCAGGAAGCCTTATACCAAGAAGTGACCAACGTGGTACCCAAAGACAGGGTCCCAACTGCTGAGGATATCACCAAGATGCCATTGCTTAAGGCTGTAATCAAGGAGACCCTCAGGTAAGCAGCCTCTGTGATTGGCTGAAGGAACAGAGCACAGACAAAGAGTGTGATGGCCACCAGCGCTTACTGTCCATGGCTGTCACCTGGCCCAACTTCCAGAAAACTGCTCCATCCATTTGCATGTGTGCTTCTTTGCTTCTGGGGAGCCACTCTATTGTACCACACAGTGACCCCCTCCATTGATATCCTTACAGGCTCTATCCTGTGGTTCCCACTAATGCCCGAATCATTGCAAAAGATGATGCAATTGTTGGAGGATACAAGTTTCCAAAGAATGTGAGTAGAGATGCATTCCCTGTCTGCAGCTCAGACAGTTGCTGACGGCCTAGATTCAGTGGTCAGAAATGGATGCGAAATTTGGGGGGAGCACTGGATTTGCCATATGAATACCTCAAGCTAGAAAGAGAGACAGGCAAAAGCAGCATTAGAGTGCCAGAGTAGCATAGCAATTCCAATGCTGACTGTTCAATCGAAGATCCAGGTTCTAGCCCTCACTCTGCCATGAAGCTCACTGGGTGACTTCAGGCCATTTGCTGACTCTCAGTCTAACCTTGGGACTGCAGGTGGCACAGTGGTTTAAACCGCTGTGCTGCTGGGCTGATTGATTGAAAGGTCGCCGGTTCGAATCTGCACAACGGAGTGAGTTCCCGTTGCTCTGTCCCAGCTCCTGCCAACCTTGCAGTTCGAAAGCATGCAAATGCAAGTAGATGAAAAGGTACCACTTTGGTGGGCAGGTAACAGCATTCCGTGCACTTCGGTGTTTAGTCATGCCGGCCACATGACCAAGGAGACTGTCTGCGGACAAACGCTGGCTCCTCGGCTAGGAAACGGAGATGAGCACCGCCCCCTAGAGTCAAGCATGACTGGACTTAAGGGGAAACCTTTACCTTTACCTTTAGTCTAACCTACCTCAGAGGGCTCTTGTGAGGATAAAATGGAGAGGAGAAGGACCACATAAACTGCCTTGGATTCCTTGCAAGAGGGAGAAGGGTGGGATATAAATACAATAATAGATAGGTAAAACTTAGTTTGGACTAGATGAGAGCTGGATCTCAGAACTGAGGAGTACTAGTGGAATATCAGGAACTGATCAGCTAGATGGCATGAATGGGAAATGAGCTTTCCTGTGGTGGCTGTGCCTCTAGCCCCCACCTTTAATTTTGCTTGGGGAGCCTGCTGGGAAGGAGCAGAGCGTTCATCACGGTGCTTGCCTGATGTCTGTGCTTTCTGCTGGGGCAGACCCTCTTTGTGCTGGCCCACTACGCTCTGTCACACGACGAGACCAACTTCCCTGAGCCGGAGTGCTTCAAGCCACGCCGCTGGCTGCGAAATGAGAGGGAGTTGTCCCCCCACCCCTTCAGCTCCATTCCCTTTGGCTACGGAGTGAGGGCTTGTGTGGGGCGCCGCATTGCTGAGCTCGAGATGCATCTGGCACTTGCCCGGGTAAGTTTCTTTATACAGTTTGTGTCTGCCTAGTCAAGTGAAGCCTTGAGATCCCCTGCTTGGAGGACTCCCCGCCACCCCCCATCATTGCAGAACATAGGCGAGGAATTTCAGTCGCATTTTTGATCCATGGACTAACATCAGGCCCTTCGCAACCCACCAGAATTGCAGCGAAGGATTGTCAAGGCCGTAATTTCCCTGCCTCCCCTCCTTCCAAGCAGGCCCAGACAGAGGTTTTCTAACTAAAACACTTGATTAAGTTAATGCAAGCCAGTCAGGCATGTTTAAAACAGGTGACATCAGATCCTGGGATGAGTTGATGGCTGAACTGCTCTCATGAGCAGGATCACTTTGCTTTCCCACAATGTGTGAAACCGAGTGACTCTCCAGTCCTGTCCAGTTTATCCCTAGGCTTGCTGACTGTAGCATCCCAGCTGCAGAGTCCAACCCCTCCTCCTTATAAGAGTCAGAATCTGTTCTCACATTCCTAGGAGGTTTTTTTGCTGGAGAAATGGGCCCAGTCCCCACAAAAATACACCCACCTCTGCTGGCTCAGTGTGCACAAATCATATTGCTTAGCACCGAGCTTTTGTCCATCTCTTTTCCCTTCTGCTCTACCCTCCCGTGGAATGCTTTCTGCCAAGAATTCACCAAGAATTCAACCCTCAGGCTGAAATTCAGTGGTCCTGCCCTGATAACAAGCAGCTTCTCTCTGGGTTCTTTCCAGCTCATCCGGACATTCTCAGTTGAGCGTGATCCCCAGCGCACAGAGGTGAAGGCCCTCTCCCGCATTGTGCTTGTGCCAGACAAACCTATTAACTTGGTGTTGGTTGACAGACAGATGGACAGACAGAGCTTCAAGTGAACCTCCAGCATCCTCTGGACAGACTGCAAAGACTTAAAGCACTGATTGTATGAAGTGCTCCTGCCCTGGCCAGCCAGCCAGCGGATCCTTCCATGCCCAGATCACCGTGAGCCTCTGATTGCATCAGCAGTTTTATTGAGTTCTTCTGTGCATCCTTGGAGGCTGAGCACTGCATTCCGCTCCCACTTCATGCTTGCAGTGTGCACTTGCATGCGCCAGTGGGGATGATAGCTTAGCCCGTGCCTGCAGAACTGGCTGATTCGCTGCTTCCCTTTTTCCTTTTCTCCTGCTGCTTCCCTGTTCCTGTTCTCAAGATGTTGGTGCCAAGAAATATGGTTGCTGTTGCTGTTAGTCGTGAAGTCGTGTCCGACCCATCGCGACCCCATGGACAACATTCCTCCAGGCCTTCCTGTCTTCCACCATCCCCCGGAGTCCACTTAAGCTCACAGAAATATGGTAGCGGTTACTAAAACGATCCCTTCTTCCTCCACAACATACTGCCTCCTGCTCTTTGCTTGACTGCAGGAGCTAGACCTCTTGGTGCATTTATTTTCCCCACGGAATTGTATTTTATTTTGAAATAAAAGTGAAAAATACAAGCAACAGAAAAAGAATACACATAACAAAAGGACAAGAGGGTGAAAGAAATAAAGAAGCTGACTGATTATAATTCTTAGCTTTTTATTAATATGGCTGTAGGGCAACTAAAGTAAAGCAGCCCAAGGAGAAGTTCATTATCCAATGGAAGCTTGGATATATGCCTAAAGCATAGATGGGGGAGTGTAGGGGGATGGGGTAAGATATGTGTGTCAGGGTTAGTCCTTGCGTCAAAGACTACAGGGTGCAGTGGTTAGAGAAGCCTTATCCAATTCAGTGCAATTCAGATGTTTTGTGCTACAGCTGCTATTAGCCTTGACCATTGTCTATGCTGGCTGTGGGGAAGGGAACTGTAATCTAAAATATCCAGATGGCACCTGATTCAGGGTGGGAATGTTAAAGGTTAGTGTAAGGAATGTGTGACCTTCCCAATGTTGTTGAACTACAAGTCCCATAAGGCATAGCCAGGAAGGGAGATGGCAGAGGTGGTCCAATAATATCTGGAAGGCCACTCATTCCCAATTTCATGGTTTTAGTGAAGAGATCCAGATTCAAATCCCCATTAAGCCACAGAACTCACTAGGTGATCGACCTAACATACCTCACAAGGTTGTTGTGAAGATAAAGCAGGAGAGGAACTATGTTCTCAGCACTGAACTCATTGCTGGAATGTTGGAATAGGGAAAGTTATAAATCAGACAGAGAAACAAATCTTGTCACAGCCCTTCAGCAATTTCAAGTATGTTGCAGTTATAGCTGTCAGGCTGGTTGAATTTCTGGAAGGAAAGAGGGTGTTGGGCCTACATTTTTTGCTTTCAGTTCAGGACATCCTGTTCTTAATATCTGTGGAAATGGTTACTTCCTCATTAAGAAGGAAATGCACAGCCTACATTAAGGGTCTTCATCTGAGAAAAATAATTCCAACAAACATCAACATTTCACCACATACATCACCAGCTGTTGCAGATGACGCTAAAATGAGAGGTACAGCAGCTTAGACGGGTTGAAAAATTGTCATCTTTTCTTGTCCTATGCTCAAGTGCACTCTTTTTGTAGAATCCAGGTGTGCAGTGGACATACACAGAGGAAGGAACTGGTGGAGCCCAACTGCCATAAAATGCAAGAGGTCCAACCCGTGACATGAGATGCTTATCTTGCATGCATTTGAGCTTTACACCAAAATGACTGAACACTCACTGTAGTTCCACTATACCAACCACATGCGCACTCAGCAGAGCTCCAATGGGTCTGTGACATTTCTCTGCAAAATTCATGCACAGCCAAGATAAATACAGGCCACATTTCTTCCAAGTCATGCCTTTTCTTTAGACTCCATTATTTTGTTCCTCCAAGTACATGTAAACATCTCCTAGTTGAGGTGAACATTTCATGCACTTGAGTCTAGTCTATGAAAACATGGGCCACCATAGCACTTAAGGTACTAGAAGATATTTGTTCATTTATTAGATTGCATCACCCTAGCCTGAACCGTGCTGTTGCAGTAAGCAGACTCTAAGCTCTGAGATAAAGTGAGGCCTGTTGAGGCCTCTCAAACCGTTACCCTCTCAAACTCTCAAACCCTGTCGAGGCTTCTCAAACCCTAAAGGCCTGTCAAGGCCTCGCAAACTCTAAATCCCTCAAACCCTCTTGCAAACCCTAAATGTTTGCAAGGCTTTACTCCTTACACCAGGGATGGAGAAATTCAGGCCCTTGGACCTAATCTGGCCCTTTCTGGTTCCTCAACAGGCCCCACTCCCTTTCTTCCAAGCACTGATTGTGGGGTGGATTCATGGTTTCTATGCAGCTTCCCCCCATCCTCAGTACTGGTAGTGAGATCCTTAAATTACAACATTTTGAATTGTTGAAGGGGGAGATATATTTTGGCTGCACCCCACGAATGTGACCCCCAAGAACTTCTCCAAAATTGAATTTGGTCCTCTGACTTGAAAGAAGTTCCTTGTTCTAGCCAACCTTAGTCTGGAACAGACATCCTTCTGCCCTAGGGACTATCACCAGCACCTGTTCTTAATTGGCTGTAATCCCTTCCTATTGTGATCAAAAGAACCAAAAGTCTTGCTGAATATTAAAGACAACCAATTCCAATATATTTTCTATGGCCACCATCCATTTAATCAAGAGTAGGTAGTGTCCCAGAATATTTTTGTCAATTTTTAAGATGTCACAGAACTCTTGTTTTTGTTGCAACATACTCAGCATGCCTGCCCCTTCCACTGGGATAGCTCTGCAAGTGAGAGGGATGCCTTCAGCGGGCATGGTTGTCGGAAGGCAGCTCATACCTGGTGGATCTCAGGACAATTTGCAGGAGATCCACAATGGTTTTTGACTCCCAGTTCTTTAACAACAGCAAGTAACAACAGTGTGCCCCCTTTACCTGTTTAAATTGGGTTGTTTTATTATTTACCTTTAATCCACTCATGCTAGCTGATGGAGGTTTAGGACTTGTCTAAATGTGCAGCCGAAGGATTGTGTCCTCAGCAGTGTGAAAGAAACCAATGCAGCGCAGGTTGGAGAGGAATGTCAAGAATAGTCCCATTCATAGAATTTCTATCTCAAAGACATCAGCCCAAGTGAGGATGGTCCTCCAGATTTTTTTCACCTTTTTCTCCCATACAGCTAGCAGAGCTAATGGTGAGGCATGATGGGTGTTGCGGGAAAAACATCTGGAGGACCCCAAGTGGGTACCTGCCTTGCTTGCAGAAAATCCCAGATTCAATTCCCAGCATCTCCAGGTAGGGCAGGAAAGACTGCCTGAAACCTGGAGAGGTGCTGTCAGTCAGTGTTGGTGATATTGGCCTAGACAGACTAAGGGCTCCATAGAGGGCATCTCTGACAGTTCCTCAACTGTCCACACCTGAGCTAAAGGCACAGATGAAAAGATGGTAAGTGCTCCTAGTATAGAACTGTGACTATCCTGAGATTAAAGTTTCATGGCCAGATATTCCAAAGCAGGAGAGAGATAAATTAAATTTTGTCTGTGTGTTTTGCTTAATGTTTGTTAACCTTGCAGAGAACCTTTGATATTGGGCAGTATTAAGGGGAAATAAATACATAAATAAAAAAGGAAACCAAAGGAATGGGGATGCTGCCTTGTGGCAGTTATTCTAGCATTCTGGGTGCAAAAAGTAAGTTATTCTTCACATCACCCAGGAACCTCCAACAATTTTTTAAACTATTATGCATAATGGGATTGGGATGCTTTGTCTCTTATGTTTTATATTTTTAATGTATTATATTTTAATTTATGTTGTGAGCCGCTCCGAGGCTTCAACGAATGGGGCGGCATAGAAATGTTTTAAATAAATAAATAAATAAATAAAATGTCTGGATCAGACAGAAATGTCCTATCATTTTTATCATTTTAAGGCATCAGTTCTGCACTTTTGTTCCTTACAAACCAAGCCTCTTCTGTTGTCAGAAGGTGTCAGATGAAGGTGATTGTCAGTTTCTGCTTATAAAACAAACAAAAGGATTCATTGACACTTTAAGACTGCAATTGCACACTTGCCTCCTTGGGAACAAACTTGGGTTGAAGTCAAGAAGGCTTTCTTCTGGGAAACCCTGCCTGGGAGCGGGTTGCTAACAGACACCCTAAACTTTAAATTCCTCAGCCCTCTGGCTCCAGGGGCTGCTTCCAAGCTTAAAGGAACCCGGCAGAATTTTGCCAAAATTCGAACCACTCCTCATAGTGAAGTTGACTTGGTTCACGACCTTTATTTCTTGGGAAGGAGGAGCTTGATGGGTGGGCGTGGAAAATGGGCGGGGTTTTTAAAAGCAGAGGGGCTCGCCGCGATTTTTAGATGGCGGAATGCGCTTTGTGGGAGGAAAGGTGTTTGCTGCGTAAGGGATGAATTGGCGCGTGGCAATCGCATCGCGTCGGCTGAGCGGCGCGTTTCCAGATTCGTTTCATTCGTGTGCATGCCCTATAGGAATTTATGAATAGGAGAAAAAAGACTTATGTTTCCTTCCTCTCTCCAATCCGTTTTTGGTCATGCCTAAAACTTTAATGAAAGGATGATTTCTCCAAACCAAAAAAAAAAGGGGGGGAGGGGGGATATTTCTTTCACCCGTGATCTCTACTCCATCCAGGAAAGCTGTTGGAAAGAGTAGAGGCTGAGTGTAACCACTCATTATTTATCACATTTCTGTACCGCCCCATAGCCCGCAGGCTCTCTGTACGCGCTCAGGGTAATCTTCCTTTCATTGTTGTTTCCCGCACGCGATAGCTCAGCCCGGACAATGCCTTAGGCTCGAACTGACGCTCCCCCGAGCTTCTGTTTTGCTCTTTTTGCCTCTCTTGACACGCAAAGTGTGTGTCGTTAGCAGGATGAATCGCCTGGGGCCGCCGCTTATGCACCGTTTGGACCAACTCTTGGAGTTCATAGACTTCAACAGCAGCATCGAACTAGGTGGGTTCGCTAGAGCTCCTTTCTTCCTGGCCCCATGCCTCAAAGTATATTAATAAGCAACTTTCTCTCCTCTTCCTCTCTTCTCTTTTTCCCAACCCAACTTTCCAGTGTTACAGCTCACTCCCTTTTGGATGTGGTTACCCCTAATATCTTCTCTACTTTTATGCAACCCTGTCGTGCTAGTGCAAAATATGAGCGTTTGACAGCAACAGCCCTGTTCTGTTCTACAGTAGCTCTTGGTTGCGATTCTGAAATAGGCAAATAGCCTCTTGCATCAGAAAAAAAATTAAATGTACCTCCGACCATGTTGCTGATACTGCTGAGTGTACATTAGGTGAAGGTAGATTGAGAGGCAGTAGATCAGCAGGAGTAAATTCTGTTGACTAGTAAGACAGCAGGTAAGGGCACAATGTGTGAGAACATGAGAAAGCCATGCTGGATAAGACCAAGGGCCCATACAGGAAACCTTCAAGCACAGTCATGCTGGGGCCAGGGGTCCACCTAGTCCAAGGGACCAGCTAGGTGCTTCTAATCATGCAGCAGTCAGTGGGATGCCTGTGGGAAGTCCACACGCAGAACATGAGTGCAGAGCACCCTAATGCTGCCTCTGATACCAGAGGTAACATACAACCATCAGGACTAGAAGCCACTGATGGGGTTTGTGCCTATAGGTAGCCCTACAACTCCCAGCGTTCCCCAGCCAGCATCCTAAATTGTAGGACTTATTTTTGTCTAAATGTGCATAGGATTGTGCCCTAAAATGCTTCTTTCCCCCCTTCTGTAAATTAGGTTGTAGGAAAATAAAACTGGAGCGGGGGCAGGGGTAGCCCAGGAGTGAACATTTGTGTGAGAGCATTTGCGAGCGTGGTTCTGGTATGGATCACACACTTCTGGGGTAGGCATGTGCTTGGAGTCTCCCTGTTCCTTAATTCTTTGTCTCTGTCTATTCTCCCGAGCCTAGTCCAGATGAGGTCTTGGACATAATTTTAGAAAAGTTCTCAGGAGCTGCATTACAGGGGTGAATAGGACCAAGAGCCACATTTTCTTTCCCTGGGCCCAAATTATTTCCTGGTTTCATAGCTTTGGTAAAGTGTAATTATTAGCAACAAGTGGTTTAAACTAAAATATACCGGTGCTTTTGACCCTTCCCTCCACTGTAAGGAAGTCCCTGAGAACTTTTCCAAAATCGATCAGGCCCTTGGGCTGAAATCATTTAGACAGCTCTGTCCTGGAGTGATATGCTTCCTGGCAAAGTGTCCTCTACATACGCAGTTCTTGTTGTGTGTCCCATGGAGGACCCTCAAATCCAAATGCTGATGCAGTGTAGCATAGTGGTTACAGTGTTGGCTGGGATCCAGGAGATCCCAGTTCTAAGTTCGCACTCAGCTGCAAAGCTCATAGGGTGACTTTGGGCCAGTCACTGACTCTCAGCCTAGCCTGCCTGGTAGGTTTGTTGTGAGGATAAGATTGAGGGGGAGGATTCCATAAGCCACCTTGAGTTCCTTGAAGGACAAAAGGCAGGATACGAGTATAACTGGTGCTTCTAACCTGTCCCTCCCAGACTACCTCCAGATTGTCCAATGCCTTGAGGGAATGCGCCAGCGATGCTGCCAGCTGAACCATGAGTTGCAGGGAGCAAGGGAGCAGCTGCGCCAGTCAGAGTTTGAGCGTTCGGTGCTGGAGGTAAAGCTGAAGCATGCCCGCAACCAGGTGGAAGTGGAGATGAAGAAAAGGCACTTGGCAGAGGCTGAGCTGGAAAAGCAGGTGCTTGTTGACAGGGGAAGCGGCACAGCTGGCAAGTGTGCGGCATGCATTGGATCAGGTGGTGCATGCTGGGAAAACAGCCTCCTGACTTGAAGGCTGTACTGGCCTTGCTGCTCTTAGGAGTACTGAACTGCTCACTGGGCTGACTCTGCACAGATCCTGGGAATGAATGAGTTCTGGCTGCAGACCCCTGAAAAGAAACGTAGGTCCTGTTCTTTGAATCATTGGACTATATGGCACAATATGACTTGGCTCAGCCTGCCACAAGCTGCTGCCCTCCAGGTTTATTGGGGTGCAACTCCCATTAGTCCCAGCCAGCATGGCCCTTGGCCAACCTGGTGGGACTGATGTGAGTTGTAGTCCAGCAGATTTGGAGGGATCCAGCTTAGGGAAATATGACCTATGCTCTATGGCTGCCCCATGAAATCTCTTCCCACTCAGTCTGGTGTAATTGTGGCTTTCATTTAGCCCTCAAAAGACATTTTGGGATCCGGTGTAACACAGCAGCTCAGAGTCTGAACTGCAAAGCAAGCATTTAATATGTTAAATGCATTCAGCATTTTGACTTGGAGGTACAAAAACTGAACAACCTTAATGCAGAGTGTAATGCAGTCCTGGATGTGCAGCCCAGTCAGGATGGAACTGTGCGCTCAGCCCTGGCTGGGCTGGGAGAACACTGGGCATCTCTGCTTCCCACCCACCAGCTCACCTACGGGAGGGATGCAGTGCTCCAAACGCAGGGCAGCTGCATGGAAGCGCCTTCTGGGCACTGCTGTTTCCTTCCTGCTGACAGGCTTTCTGTGGTCTCCCTCCATTCCCTCAGGAGCGCAAGCTGCAGCTTATCTATGACTACCTGATGGCTGATCCTCAAAGCAGCCCTCTCAATGAGCAGCAGCAGTTGGCCCTGTCTGTTTTCAGCAGGCCCGGTTTCAGCCGCAGCAGCCTGCTGCCGGGCAAACGGTGAGTGCCGAGGCGGGCGAGGCCTCCGCGCGATCGCGGAAAGGGCTGCCTGGCCCGGGGATGTGGGCAGGAAATTTTCCACTTCATAAGTTCCTTAGCTGAATGAATGAATGAATGAATGTCAAAGGCAATATTGGATAAACCTGAGATTTTCAAAGTCATAATCGAAGATTTCAGTGGATTTGTTATACCCTAAAAGAATTTGTTACAGCATTTCCATAAGGCCTGCATTACCTATGTCAGGAGATGGAGAATGGATTGTCTGAATGGACCCAGAGAGTTTATGCTTGGAGTGAAACTGGAAATGGAGACTGAGATCTCTTACAGCAAAAGCAAGCATTGAACCAGACACTGGGCAATCTAATATTCAAAAAGCTTAAAATACGAGTGTATGAATTGCCCGCTGACCAAATGCCAGCTTGCTTTGGAACAGGTGGCTTCACGTGACACTCTAAAGCCTTTGGGAATTTTAGCCATGCACTGTAGCTAAAAGCCTCAAGGGATTCCCTCATGCCCAGCAGATGATTAGCTAATAGCAGGGATAGATTGCCTCCCCCTTAGTCCGTCCCCCTGGTATCCCAAGTGGATACTATGGGAACAGTGAAGGGAGCGGAGTTGGGATGGGCACTGTAGAAAGTGCCAGTCAGCACTTTGGCAGCTGTCCTCTGCGTCCCTACCCTGCACTCCTTCCAGTGCTGCAGGCGAATCTGACTCTCCCAGCACTGGCAGGGGCACGAGCAAAGAAGGCGGAGTGGAGGAAGAGGTGCAGTTGGCCAGGCCTTTTTCTGGGGAGACCAGCCTGAACACACAATTCCCACCTGTGCACCATCCCCCTGGAAGGAGGCCCAGCAAAATGTGCCAGCCCTACAGCAGTTGCTGTGTGCCCCTCCCCAAGTTGGAGTGGGGCTTGGGAAAGTGGCACCAGGCAGGCAGCAGCAGAAATGCCACCTGTCTCGGGGAGAAAGCACACAGGACAGGTGAGGTCAGGATGGTGGGGAAGCGCCATCTTTTCTTCACGTTGGCTGGCACCATTATGAGGGGGTCCCACTGGCACTGGGCAGAGGGGTGCTGCCCCACCCCAAGCCATGGCTTCCCCTTGTCTGGCAGCACCAGCAGTGCAAACGGAGGCAGCTGCTGCCGCCCCAGGCCCCCCTTTCCCTGTTGGGAAGGGAGAAGCAGGGCAAGGGCTGCCACGCTGCTCCGCTTGCTTTCCTCTGCTTGACTTTTATATCCCACTTTGGCAGGTTGTCTGCAATGGAAGAACTTGGCACCTCAGTCATTTCTGACATCAGTTTTGACCATTCAGATGATGAAGTGGTAAGTATGGTCCTTTCCTCCCAGGCCTGGCACAGAAGAATTAAGAAGACACAGGCCAGAGGCCCCAACCAATTCATGTCAGTGGGTAATGTTGTGTGCTGTCATACTTTGTACTACCCCGAAATGGCTGCCATGGGAGGCTTGAGGTATATCATGGCTGCCCTGATGGGTGTGGCCAGTAAAAAAAGCCATTTTCACAAAGCCAGACTGATGAAGCTGAAAAACACATAGAAACAAAGCAAGTCAGAAGGAGCCTCCTGGGCCATCTAGTCTGACCCCCATCTAGCTCTGCTCAGGTAATTCCAACATGTGGTTGTGCAGTCTTTCCTTGAACACCCTCACTGATGGGGCCTCAACCACCTCCCTTGGAAGCCCATTCCATACCCTTGGGGTCGAAAATGTCAGGAAGTACTTCCTGCAATCCAACCTGAAGCCTGGTTCCTTGAGCTTTGCCCCACTGAAAAGCATCCTGCCCTCCACTGCAAGGAAGAACAAGTCACACCCCTCCTCCACAAGTCTCTTCTTCTCCAGGTTGAAAAGATCCAGTTCCTTTAATCTCTCCTCATACGTCATCCCTCCCAACCCAGTTACCATACACATAACTTACCATCAAATATAAGGCAGAAATGGGATCTGAACCCCAACACACACAACCTCTCCTTCAATCCCACAGGCTTCTCCTTCAACAGTAAGCCTATTTCATGGAAGGCTAACTTTCTTCCTCTCTCAGCTAGCCAATTCACCCCACCATCTCTCTCTCTCTCTCTCTCTCTCTCTCTCGTGCATGCTTGCACACACAGAATCACCACCTGTATATGCACAACTCATGTACATACATGCACAGATTCTCTCACACGTGCACATCCCTTCTTTCTTCCCCAACCACCTTGGCTTGCTTGACAACACTGGAAGCTGTAGGTTCCATTATTTCCTCTTTTTTTGGGTGTGGAGTGGGGGGGAGTGGAGTTCCTAGGCAATCAGGTCATGCTTAAAGCAGCATGCTGGGCTACCCGCCATCTTACTTTTCTAAGAATGATTCTGGAGTAAGTAAAGGTGATAGTCAAGAAGCCGGAGTTTTGCTTTCCAGCTTGCCTGGCTACCAGGGAAGACCTTTTGCATTGGTGGGGCCAGGAAGTCTTGACTAGCACCGTGGGAGGTGTCTCCTGCTTGGGAATCCAGAATTGGTGTGTAGGCAAGCTCTTGCTGAAGCTCTGCTCTGAGTTTTGTCTACTCTGCACCAGCAGAAAAAAAGACTTCACACTTGAAATGGACTGTGCCAGCTGTGCAGCCTGTGGCAGTAATTGGATTACAGTATAGAAGCTTTTTTCAGAATTTCCTATGGATTGTTAAGACCAGGTGATTGTTAAGGTGATTAACAAACATGGAAGTATTTTTGAAACAAAGAAGTAGTGTTTCAGAGGGAGGAGTTGTGCTGGGTCACGGAAGGGAGATAGAGGATGTGGCATTAAGAACAACGGGGTCAATTTGAAAGTACTTTCTCTCTACATGTCCTTATGTTCACTGCAGTACAAATGTACCCTTTTCCTCACCAGAGTGAGCTTTTTATATGGGGTGGGGTTACTTCTAAAAGAAGCCAGCAGTGAAGGGTGCCTATTGGCTAACATCTGTAACATCAACTATACACCTTCCCGCCCCACAAATCTTCAGAGCGGATTTGCAAGTATCTCTACACAAAAAAATAAAAATAAAAAATCAAGGTAGGATGAATGTAGTATGTTTCTGTTTAAACTGTTTAATAGAAGGCAGGCTACCTGGCTGAAGCACAAAGGGAGGGGTAGGATGGAAGAGGTGTGTCTGTGTAAAGCAAACTGCAAAATGCCAACATGGGTTCAAGCATCTCTTTACCGTTTGAGGGTGAAGAAGAGAGATTTTGTTCTGCTGTGAGCTCAGATGATCAGGAAGCCATAGATCATGCCAGAAATTCAGAGGGCTGTCGGCTGTGTATTTGTTGTGCAGGCTCTGAGAGAAGCAGGGACGCCATCGTTTGAACTAACTGTTGCATCACATGTGAATATAATTCCTCTGTGAGACCAAATGTATGTTCACAAATCAGGCATGAGTGCCCATACTGTCTAGCGGTCTTCTGGCCACCTGAAACAGTCTACGTGCAGCATGACTGCTCATCCAGTGTGACGTGTCAGCGGTCCTCTTGTCTTGTTTGAGTTGCCTGTCAGGGTTGCAGAGGATCTGTCTGCTCCTGGCTATGCCATCTGAGAAGCTCATCGCACATTGGTAAACCTGCAGGAAATCCATTTCCCACTCTTCCGGTAGGATATCAGGGCCTGACAGTGGATTTGGAATAGGAGCAGGCTGCGCAACACGGACAAAGCTAGGTTGCAGTAGTAAGTGCCAAATCATTCTCTGCCTCCACCATCAAAATCTGGCAGTTAGATATTTTTTTGAATTGTCAGCCTGACATTTAATAGCAGGATGATGATTATCACCATTGTTATTAATAGTTAATAATAACTGGAGAGCCAGTGTGGCATAGTGGTTAAGAACATGGGACTGGGACTCAGGCGATCTGGGTTCTGGTCCCCACTCAGTCATGGAGCCAACCGGGTGACTTTGGGCCAGTCACAGACTCTCAGCCCAACCTACCTCACAGGGTTGTTGTTGTGGGGATAAGATGGAGGAGGAGAATGATGTGAGCTGCCTTGAGCCTTTTGTAGGAAAAAGGCAGGATATCAATCAATCAATCAATAAAGGTGATAATGATCATGATCAACTTTTATATTTGGCTTGTTTGTGAAAAAGCCGTCAAGACAATATATAATAATTTAGAACAATAAGACCTTAACAGAATGAAAATGAGACTATTTAAACAGTGAAATAGGAAAGCTACGAAACTTTAAAGGGTACATTAAAAGAATATGTCTTGCCCCCCTTTTAAAAGCCAAAATGCGAGGGATGGGGCAGTTGTAGATCTTGAGTAAGCACATTCCATAGTTTGAGAGCAAAACAGGAGAAAACCCTGCTTTGTGTGCCCAACAGACAGGTCTCTGCAGGTCGTGTTGCCTCAGGAAGGTCTTTCCTGCAGATCTTATTAACAGGGCAGGCTCATAACAGGGCCAGAGGCTCCTGAGCTAGCCAGACTCTGAGCCATTTAGGGTTCTAAAGGTTAAAATCAACACTGGCGATCAGTGCAGAAAACAGCCAGGAACCAGTTTTGAAGCAGATGTAATGTTGTCCTGATACCAAATCCGTCTGTTTTTTCAGTTGTTCAGGCCATTTGTCTAAGTCCTGTAGTTTTCACAGTTTGTTCCACCAACACATAGCATAACTCTTTAGTTGTCAAAGATGCCAGCCAACCATAACATTTTGCTGTGATGGAACCAGCATGCAACAACTCAAATCTAAGAAACTCGCATGCTTAATGATATAAGCCTGTACCTGGTTGAAATGCATATCTCTGTTCCCAGCGGCACCAGAAATTAGAAATCTGCTAATCCTGCAGTAAATTTAAATGAGGCTGAACACTACACAGGTGCCCTAACGGTGAAACAGAGGACCACATATAAGATTGCTATGGCTTTTCTCCTTTGAAAAATAGAAATACTAAGAGGGAGAGTATGAATGGCATATGAGCATTTCATCTTTAGCCTACCAAGCAATGGTGGAAATTAGGGAGTGGGTAGTTTCACTTTGTTGCAAGCCCATTTTCTGTGTCCAGGAACTGCGTGGAATTGAATGGTGGGAGATTCAGGAAAATATAAGGAAGTCCTTCTCCATGGAACACACAGAATGTGAAATTAGCTGTGTCAAAATGTGGTGATGACCACTGCCTTGGATTTTATCTGATCTCTGAGAAGAGATCAGATAAATTCATGGAGGACAAGGCTTCCGGTGCCTACCAGCTCTATGCTGCCTTCAGTATCAGAGACAGTATGTCTGTGTATGCTAGTTGCTGGGCAACATGGGCAGAACAGTGCTATTGCACTCGTGTCCCACTGGTAGGCTTTTTGGTGGAGTATCTGCTTTGCCCCTGTAGGAACAGAATGCTGGACTAGGTAGGCCTTTGAACTGATTCAGCAAGGTTGCTCTTGTGTTCTTCAATGCTTCTGACTTCTACTATGTCCCATTTTGAGGACTGGGTGGTGGCTGACAAGAGGATTTTAAGAATAAATGAAATCTTGTTTTAACTTGAAACTAAAACAAAAATTGCAACTTGATTCCAAGCCTATTCAACTTACTCCTGGCCCCTCTAAATTAAAATGCAGGCTTCGTGTTGCTTCTAAAACATGCATGGATTCTGCTCAGGGCATGAAGTGGAGCTCTACAATGCTGGGTTGCCACTAAGTGAGCTTCTCAGTGCATCCCTGCTGTTTGATCTCCTGAATCCTGCCCAAAATGCTGTAAGTGTAGAGCTAGGGAAGAAGGTGTAGCATTGGTTTAATCTGCTCCTGGCTATATCTTCTAAAATGACACACATCCAGTGCAAAGCCTAACTTGGGGTGGAACAAGGAGGGAAGATGTGTATAAATTCAGGATGGGAATCGACTGTTCAGTCGCCCATGAACTACTTATGCTCCCAACTCTTTTCTCAAGTTCACTTCCTTTTATTTTTCTTCAAGGATCTGGATATGATAAAACCCACCAGAGGCAGAGGGGTAAGTTTTGAAACTTGCATATCTACCTTTGATTAGTCCCTTATGGCACCAGGAGCTAGAAAACTTCTAACTCTGCAACAATTGTAAATGGGGGCTTCCTCCTTCCTTCCTACTAGCTTTGTGTGGTTTCTGCAAATATCCATTTAGGCAGAAACCACAGTTGGATAGGGAAAAGTAGAACTCTTGTACCCACCCATTCTATTTTTCTGCTTCAGGTCTCTGAAAAGCTTATCTGTACCTCACCCTGTGGGTTCTTTCACCTTCCCAGTATTCTGTGGGCCAGGGCGAATGTTCAGCAGTAAAGTGAATATGACACCCCTGGAATTACATGGGCCCATCTTCATGTTGCTCTCACCCCCATTTTTCTGCTTCAGAGATCCTCCCTGGCACCCCTGATCCAGCCAGTGGTAGCAGCCAAGCGTGCACGGCCCTCCCTGGCAACTACTCCCAGTGTAAGTACCTGTCAAAGTCCTGGACCTGTGCAAGCAGGAAGATCAGGGTGTAAAGGGGTACCTTTGCACCCTGGGGTACATATTAGAAAAGTATGGCATCAGTGATCTGATGCAATGATATAACTTGTATGCATGCCTGACACACTCAGATGAAACAGAAGTATTGGGTGCATGAGAAAGGCGGGGCTACATGAATCACAAGTTGGAATTAAGATTGTCTGGAGAAATATCAACAACCTCAGATATGCAGATAACACCACTCTAATGGTAGAAAGTGAAGAGGAACTAAAGAGCCTCTTGATGCAGGTGAAAGAGGAGAGTGCAAAAGTTGGCTTGAAACTCAACATTAAGAAAACTAAGATCATGGCATCCGGTCCTATCACTTTCTGGCAAATAGATGAGGAAGAAATGGAGGTAGTGACAGATTTTATTTTCCTGGGCTCCAAGATCACTGCAGACGGTGACTGCAGGTAAGAAATTAAAAGACGCTTGCTCCTTGGGAGGAAAGCTATGGCAAATCTAGACAGAATACTAAAAAGCAGAGACAGCATACTAAAAAGCAGAGACATCACTCTGCCAACAAAAGTGCGTATAGTCAAGGCTATGGTTTTCCCAGTGTATGGCTGTGAAAGCTGGACCCTAAGGAAGGCTGAGCGCCGAAGGATTGAGGCCTTTGAATTGTGGTGCTGGAGGAGACTCCTGTGAGTCCCTTGGACTGCAAGGTGATCAAACCAGTCAGTCCTAGAGGAGATCAACTCTGACTGCTCTTTAGAAGGCCAGATCCTGAAGATGAAACTCAAATACTTTGGCCACCTAATAAGAAGGAAGGACTCACTGGAGAAGAGCCTAATGCTGGGAACAACTGACAGCAAAAGAAGGGGACGGCAGAGGATGAGGTGGCTGGATGGAGTCACTGAAGCAGTTGGTGTGAGCTTAAGTGGACTCTGGGGGATGGTGGAGAACAGGAAAGCCTGGAGGGATGTTGTCCATGGGGTTGCGATGGGCCGGACGCGACTTCGTGACTAACAACAACAGCAAGTGGCAAGTGATGCTGTGGTCGCATCTCACAAACCAAGGTGCTCTAGTGCTCCTGTAGCAGCGTGGCAATCCCCAGCACATTTTTTTTCTGGTCAAGGCAAAGAGGAGGGTGGGGTTACCTGAAAGCACTTGATTTCCCCTGCTCTGAAGACGCATCCAGCTTGACCCTTACATGACACCCTGACCAGGTTCACACAACCATGGGAGAAAGGAAGCTTCTTTTTGCTGCCCCCTGGGTGCCACTTGCCCCTGCAGAATTTGCCTAATCCACCTCAAGGCACATGGCTTCTCATGCCATCCAAACCAGGTGAGTTGCTCAGCGCAGGTGGCTTTGAACCCACCCCAAGGCTTGGTGTGGGGCTCTGGGGTAGTTCTGAAGCCACTGCCAGCCCAGCACCCCACCAGGTACAGATGGCGTGGAAGCTGTGCACCCCATAGCTAATAAAGCAAATCATGCAGCATGTGACCAGTATGTGAGGGGCAGGGAATAGAAGCTGCTGTGGCTTCTTTTGCCCCATCGCTGTGCAAACCCACTCAGCTGATGAGGCAGCAAAACCTATCAGAAGGAAGTTTCTGAAGAGGTGAAACAAGAGGCTAGAATGAGTGGAACTAAAACTGGGGTGACTGAGTAATTTCTCTATTTGGCTGTCTTGCATACCCTGAGATTACTTATATTATAGAATTATAATACAATATTATATTATATTGGACATATATTATCAGTTCAAGTGAAACTAAATGAGAGTTGGAATAACTAAGTAACAGAAGGTTTTTCGACACAAGGATGTTAATTACTGTATCTGCTTTAGTTTAATCACAGTGTTGAGATCCAAGCAGTACATGAGTAGTATTCCATTCCTGCCTTTCCACTACATCACCTCTAGGTGGCACTCTGCTGCAGTGGCATAGCACAAATAGTGAGGAAACAGCATTTCCTTCCCAGATCAGAAATAATATCCCATGTTCCCCACTCAAAAAGGAAGGAAAAAACCTGCAAAAAGTGCTGTCTACAAACAAGAGTGAAACTGGAAGGTCCACTATCACCTAAGGAATGCATAAACAACTGTGAAGGGGGAATGATGAGTGCTTTGAAAATTCTTCATGTAGAAAAGCTGCCAGATTGAAGGAGACACCAAGAAGTTAGAAGAGCAGCAGGAGGAGGCAGAGCATGGGAGGTTATGTGGACTTCTCTGGTGATAAGAACAATGCTCATTTTCCATAATACCCAACTTTCATTTAATTGGCAGCATATACATATGGCAACAACAGGGAAGCACAATGATTCACAAATGACATACAGGATGTATTGAATGGTCCCTATCTGCACACACGGAATGAGATATAGGCCACACTATGCACATAGGTATTTGGGACCTGGCCAGCCAAATGCCTGGATGAGGACCTGCTTAGGTTCTCAAATGACCTGTGATCATTTTCAGAGACTTTGGGTGCAGTCATATGCAAGTTTAGATGGGGAAGAAAATGTCTTAGGATTTTTTTTTCTGTCTGAACACATAGAATTATGTCCTTTGTTAACCATGTCCCTAGAGTTGTAGTGAAATGTGCTATTTGGAAAGGAAATGGATAATGGTGAGCATCCCTCCAAACTTCCAGCAGACAAAAGGAAGTAAAATAATATGAATATTTCATATTGGAATTGGTGGTGCTGCCCCCAAAACAGTGGTTGTGCCCATCTTGACTCCAAGCCATTGGAATAAGACTGAGTGTGTACAGGTCCTATCAGTTTTTCAATCTAGAAATGTGCAGTGCTAACATTTATTGCACCCAAGGTTATGTACATATGGCTTATTTAGTTTGGACTTTTGAAACAAAATAGTACATTCTATTAGTTTAAAAAACCTAGTTAGTAAAAATCAAAAGCGAAAAGGTGAAACCTTCTTCCAGAAAAGATTACAGAATATATAGAAGAGGTACAAAGTGACATGGACCAAACAGGAGTAGGACAGACTCACTGCATATAGATCTCAGTCTTAAACTAATGGAAACCTATCAAGTAGGGGTGAAGAATATGAAGACAACAGGGTTTTTAAGGTTCCCTTTAACATATGTGTGCATGTGTGTGTATATAGGCCTACCTCCATAAGCTGAGTAGATATGATCAAAAGAGGTCTTTGTCACTCTCTCTCTTTCCTGCCCCTTCCTTAATCTTGTCAGGCCAATGAGATGCATGTGGTGACTCTGAGATCTGGAGCTATTGCAAAGAACAGAGGAACTGGCCAGAGTTTGATACCTATCTCTGTGGTACCACATCGCCGATCCCAGCAGATTCGCTGTATTTCCACACGCTCAGGTACTCCTTGTCCCTTTGATTTGGTGGGGTTGGCAAATACTGAAAGTCAAAAGGTATGATTCCATAGGGGATGTTGGCAGAAAGCTTATCAATGGTTCTAGAGTATCACTATGTGCTCTAAAAGAACCCCCCCCCCCATCTTCAGCTGCATTCCCAGTATGCTATCAACGTGGCTTTTGTTCCCCTTGAGAGGCCACTCCATCCCTATAGACCCATTTCCTCTCTGAAGACCTCAGCTGAGGCCCTCCAGGTGGTACTGCAGTCCTCCGAGTTCTACTTTGCGGTTATTCGGAGCAGGGCATTCACTGTGGTGGCTCCCATTGAATGGAATAATCTTCCATGTGATGTTAGACATGCACCATCACTTTTTATTTGTAGGCAGGCACTGAAGACCCCTCTCTTCATGCAGCACTTCCTTGGTTTGTGTAGTCTACCAACTTACACAGTTATATTTTCTAGCCTTTCTTTGTATGTTTCTATACTTTGTATACGCCACTTTGAAACTCATAGATTTACATGAGTTTTCATCATTTACAAATAAATACAGAAATGAGGTGGTGGCAGAGCTGGTACCAAAGCTTCTGGAGTTCAGGTCAGTGTGGGCTCTTGCCATTTCCTTGGAAGAAAGCTCTTATTTTTAACTCTGAATAGGGACAGGTCACAGTTGTTCATGTGTATGGGATATGTATTCTGTGTATGTTCAGAGTAAGTATTCCCATTTCATATGCCTCTTTTCCAAGGGTGGATATGGCCAAGGTTGTTACGGGTGTTGTAATGTGGGGAGGGGGCCACAAACACACACACTCTTGTAGCCGCAAGAGTCTACTCTTGCTCATGCTGCTGAGCCTGGCAGGCAGGCCTTGAGTAGGCCTGAACAGGTTCCATGGTGATTTCAAGATGAGACTTTGTGTTTATCAGAGTTGCCATTATAGGAATGTCTTGATGGGGATGGGGAGGTCCCATGTCTCCTCCTCGGGAACTCTTAGATGGGTTCTGGGCTCCACCTTTGTTTAGAGAGACTTTCAAACCTTCTCTGCTCTTATCCTCTGGAGTTTGACTGCCATCATGTTCCCAAATGCAGTTCTGTGTGAGGAGATTGAGTAAGATGCCTTCCCACTCCTTAGCCAGATCTTCTGGACAGCTGCATATGCACAGAGCAGCCATGTGGCGTTCTCCACCTGCCCGTGGAGTCTGCAGCCTGAGATAAACCCACAAGTCCCAGGGTCCAGCAGTGTATCTGGGAAGTGTCCATTACGAAGATGGCGGAGGAGGCCTTCGGTTGTGCTCCTTGTGCAGAATGTGGTCTTTCTTCCCACAGAACTCACGACCATCTGGGGCAGCACTGAAGAGTCAGGCAGTGGTGGCAGCCGGAGTGAGAGTGACCCTGTTGGCCCAGGGGCTGGGCCTGAGTCAGGCGGTGTCCTGGATCCATTCTCTTCCTCTTCCCCACAGGAAACACCACCAGCCCAGCAACACCACTTTACTTCCAAGACAGTAAGTTAGAGGCCAAACTCTGTGTTACCTTAGCTGGGTCATTCTGGCCTTGAGGGCAGAGCTGCCTCCTTGCTGCCCCTGCAATCAATCAATCTTGATGGTGCGGACACAGATCTAACAAGCTGCCCACACGCAAGTTGCCGGTGCAGGCCGCAATCCAAATCACGACTGCAGCCTGGAAGGCAGGGGAGCATTAACCTACCATTTCCAGCTGCCCCTCCTCTGAACGGAGTCAGCCCTCCAATTAAGGAGCAAGAGCTGGCTGCCTCAGGCCACAGATTTTGGTATCCCGAAAGGCCAGTAAATTGCACCGTGCTTAGCTTGTAGTGACTTCATTTCTACTGACCTGAAAGGGAAGAAGCCCTGGTAGGTTTCTGCTTCAGGTGGGCTAAAATAACTTGGTGGTTCCACAAACAGGACACCTGCCTTGGTGAGAGGAGGAGCACCATCTGCTTCTCTGCCTCGGGCAGCAAAATTGCTTGGGCTGGCTCAGGACATGCACGGTTCTTTCTTCCTCAGTGCCTGTTGCAGGCAGGGGGAACCCACTCCAGAGTGGGAGCAGGGAAAGAGAGGGAAGCCCTCCTACCTCCCAAACAGCTTTCCAGCCCTGATCAGAGTGCCTCCTGCTGGCAGTTGGTGGGGAAAAGACTCTGCTCAACGCCGGAGCTATGCACGAAATAATATGCAGTTTTCCACTAACGCACAGGAGAGCAAGACCCTGTCCCAGGCCTCTGCTCAGCCGTCCCTGGAGTGATGCCCTTCAGATGGCTACAACTCCCGTCATTCCTGACCGTCTGCCATGGTGGCTCAGGCTGATGGAGAGTGAACTCCAAGATAACCGGAGGGCACTGAGGCTGCACAACTGCTCTTGTGTCGCCCCAGATGCTCTTAGGAAGGCTTCTCCTTAGCCAGTGGTCCCGCAGGGAATAGGGCAAGAGGTACACTCTGTTGAATTACAGCAAAGCGGGGCACATAGCAGCCCCAGGAGACGAACTCAGACATTTTCCTTAGACTGAATATTGCAGAACTAGCCTTTGCTGACCTCTTCTTGGTTTTCCTCTGGATCTCGGCTGACTTCCTCTCTTTTTCCCTCTCCCACTTTCCTGCCCAAGGTAATCCGCCCGGAGTGTTGCTCACTGTGCAAGTCCCGCCTGCGCTTTGGGAAGGTGGCCCTGAAATGCCGGCCCTGCCAGCTTCTAGTGCACCCAGAGTGCAGAGAGCGCTGCCCGTCAGTGTGCGTGCCAGGCGCCCGCCCTCACGTGAAAGAGGTCGGTGTGTAGCCAGATGGGCCTGCGGGGGGAAACAGGCTCCCGCCCCAGCATCTTCGGTGGCATTGCCCCGGGGGAAAGGCAGTTGTGGTGACCAGAGGGCGTCGCACGTGATCAGAGGAGTCTCTGAGGATTCTTCTACCCACTGCAATGTGTCTCCTCTTCTTCAGGGTGTTCTGGCAGATTTTGCACCCTCCACACCACCTCTGGTGCCCCCCATAGTGATTCAGTGTGTGAGCCAAGTGGAAAAGCGTGGCCTGCTGGAGGTGAGTGGGGTGGGGGTGAGGCCCAGCAGTGGTGCATGAAGGGTTGATTGAGCCGCCATTTTTCAGGAGGGGCCATGGCCCCATAGAAGAGGCCCTGCTCTGCAGGCCGCAAGCCCTGGGTTCAACCTGCAGCATCTCCAGGTAGGGCTGGAAAAGGTTCATGCCTAAAACCCTGGGCTGCCACTGCTGGTCAGTGCTGACAGTCCTGGGCTTTGGGGCCAAAGGCCTGGCTCTGCCTCAGGAGCTTCTGAAGTTCTGCTTCGAAGAGAAGAAAGGAACAATAAGAGCTCTGAGAAGGAGGTACAACAAGCCAGTGGCAGGGAGAGTTCACAACTCGCCTTTCTGGAGTAGCTGGAAACTTGGGGAAATGTTGAACAGGTGGAGGATGCTGAGAAGTGTCAGCTCAACACTTAAAAGCCTGAGGATTGCATTGCCGGGGGGAGTCCCCCCCCCATCTTTTGGTGCAGTTACTCCTTTACTCCCCTCCATGCCTGGTGCTTCTGAATTGGGCCAATGGGCCCTTCTTTCCTTACTGTTATATCTCTCTTGCTCCTTCACAACTGTGCACAGTTCAGTGGATATTCAGCCTCTTTTTTCCAACATTCCTGTATGTTACTTCACTTCAAGGCTCCCTTTGGCAGCAGAAACAGACAAGAAAATTGACCAGCCCCCTTTTAGCTCTATTTTGCTAGGTCATCCTTTGCTAGCCGGGCATGATGGGAGCTGTGCTCCAATGTGTCGGGAGGGCACCTGGTTGGGAAAGGCTGCTCTAAGGGTCTTTTAAAATAAACAGGAATATGTGTGTCTTTGGGGGAGGCTGGGAAGTAAATAGAAGGGAAATATATTCAAATGTAGCAACTGGGAAGTAAACTGAAGGAAAATCTAGAAAGATCAAAGGGCTTGGGAAGTCAGTGGAGAAGAAATTTGCACACCTGCACTAATAGAGCTCTCAGTGAAGTTGTGCAAATGTCCCTTCCATTTACTTCCCTGCCGTTCGGTTTGTATATATTTCCCAGGCCTCCCCAAATCATGCAAATAGTTCTAACGGTTTAAAAAAAGCCAGTTAGAGGTAGAAGAAAGGCTTAGGTTTAGGGTGGAGTGCCCACTGATTCTGTGTGAGGAGCCGTTCCCTGGATACTATTTGGCCCTCTTTTTTTCCAGGGAGGGAAACTGGCAGGGAGCTGGAGGAGCTGCAGCAGGAAGTGCTCCAAAAAGGGTTCACAGAGAGGGTGGTGGGGCATTAATATCTCCCCTTCTGGAAGCAGCTGCATAGTCAGAGAAGTGTTCAAAAGATAGAGGGCACTAAGATCTGTCAGTTCAACAAGTAATATCAAGAAAATTACATTACTAAACGGGAGACGCTCTCCTTGCCCCTTTTGTGCACCTCCTTTCCCCTGTTTGTACTTTTCCGTAGCACAAATGCTTTCCTCCATTCCCTAGTCCCTGCCAACTGGGACATGAGAGAGCAGGCTTCTGGTCCCCTTTGACCATGGAGCCAACTGGGTGACTTTGGGCCAGTCACAGACTCTCAGCCCAGCCTTCTTCACAGGGCTGTTGTTCTGAGAATGAAATTGAGAGGAGGAAGAGGAGAATTATGCAAGCTGCCTTGAAAGACAGACAGATAGAAGGAAGCACCGTACAATAATAACTATTGCCTTGTCAGTATCCTTGTACTTTCTTACTCTACCTTATGCTCCTCCTTTGACAGCTGAAACGCACAAGGAAACTGACCATGCAAGACTATGCATGTCAGGCCACCGCAAATTGTGCCCCTGCAGGTTTGCAAAAGAGCACTAGCAAAAAATGTCAGAAGAAATATTAGTGCAAGTGTCAGGACCTGAAAGGTGGCAAACCAGTGATGGTGGCTCCTGAATGCTGCTTGGGCATCGGTGAAGGGGCAGCCGCTGGTGGCAGTGTGAGCACTCCTGGTGCATTTTTCGGTGGCCATTTCCAGCCAATTGTTCCCCTGAAATTGTTGTCCTGGGCTCAGAGCATGCAGCAACCCATCATATCATAAACAGCCCCTAGAACAGCCCAAAGGCTGTCGGGTAGCTTGCTTAAAGAAGAGCAAGGCGCCCTGCATAAAATGGTCCCGGTGTGCATGACAGGACAACCCATCATGGCTGGCTGCTCACAAGGGGAGGTCATCTTGGGTGAACCACGGAGCACGTACAAAGCAAATTAGTGCCCTGTCTGTCACATGTGGTGGACTTGAGGATGATTGTGGGTGGTTGTTGGATGACTGGGTGGCCCCTTCACAGCAGTGGGCTGGACTTGCTGGTATTCTGAGGAGCCACTCTGCTGCTTCCCAGCCAAAGTCCGGCTGCAGTCAGGTCTTGTGGCTGTTTCTTCCCTGTGTGACTGACTTCTCTTGTCCCTCGCTGGTCGCCTGAAGACTGGCCTGTACAGAGTGCCAGGTGCGGAACACCTCGTGCGTGAATGGAAAAACAAGCTGCTTTGTGCCCGAAGAGCCGTTCCCTCCCTCGATCACGTGGCTGATGTGAATGTGATCTGTGGCGTCCTGAAGGACTTCCTGAGGAGCCTGAAGGAGCCCTTAGTTACCTTCTGCCTGCACTCTGCCTTCCTGCGTGCTGCAGGTGAGATGTGGCAGGGCCACAGAAGAAACGGCTGTAGTGGCAGGGGGCAAACTTCTATATATTGTGCCTGGTCGTCATCGTGAGGAGACTCGGAGGTTGGCAGCTGGAATCAGGAGGCCAAGCGACTTCTGTGACTGATTCCTTGTGGACATCCCTTTCATTGCAAATAATGTACATAAAACTGTAAGCATAGTGACTGTAAGTTGGCTTTGGCTGCCTTTTGGCCCTCAAGGACCACATGAGGAAAGTGGTGGTGGGTCAGAGGCCACAGCCAAGCCATGCACACCCACGTGCCCCCACATAGAAAGCCAGTGCGGTGCCATGTGTCGAATGTCGGACTGGGATGTAGAAGGCTGGGGTTCTATTCTCCCGCAGGCCTTGAAGTTCACAGGGTGCCTTTGGGCCAGTCACTGACTCTCTGCCTAACCTCCCTTGCAAGGCTGCTGTAAGAATAAAAAGAAATGTTTCTGTGAAGTGGGAAAGGGCTTCAGGGTATAAATGCAACATTAACAATTTTCTCAGACGTCTCCTCCTAGAGACACTAGAGGCATTCAAAAAGAACCTGGGCAGCCGTCTGAGTGGGACGGTGTAACGTGGTGTCCTGCAACGGCAGGGGGTGGACCTGATGGTCGCCAGGGCCCCTTCCAACTCTAGTCTTCTATGATTCTGCCGGGGAGCACATGGGAATGTCTCTCCTTGTGTGCCTTTGTGGCAGAAGTGTTGCAGGGCGGGGAATACTTACGTGGCAGACCACAGGCCCATCTGCCTCCATTCCAAATCTTAAGTGATTCTAGACTCATATGCATGGTATGCTCGTATGCTGAAGTGGCCGAATGGGAGCTCCGACAGAAGGGCTTTAAGGACTTGCATATTGCTTTCCTCCCACCCAGAAATTCCGGATGAATCTGCCCGCCACACCGCGCTCTGCCATGCTGTGATGAAGCTGCCTCAAGCAAACAGAGACACACTGGCTTTTCTCATGCTCCACCTACATAGGTAAGGAATTGGGGAGCGCCGTACCTAGGAGGGAATTACACCAGCACAGGGCTTTTTGCCCAAAGTATTTACTGTGTGCTCATCATTTCCCACTCGTGGTTGTAGGAGTCCCTTCCTTCAGGCAGTTTGGGGTCCTAATGGATTGCATCCCACTCTTCATTCTCAGGGTCATGCAGAGCCCTCAGTGTCGAATGGACAGGCATAACTTGGCACGGATCTTTGGACCAACACTAGTGGGGCACGGTACACCCAACCCCACACCGCTCGCCATCATGGAGGATACACCACGCCAATGCCTGGTAACGGGTGGGATACAGACATTGCATGTGGACAGTCTCTTAATTTCTTCCAAACATCTTGGAACGGCTTACAATAAATAAGTAGAATAAAACAAACCCCACAGCATCCAACTATTAATATACTAAAACCCCAACCCATATTAGGGATGCCAAGCAGTGGTCTGTCTCTATATCAAGAGAGCACTGGGGAATCGAAGATTAATTCCTTTTGTCACACCATGTTCCTCTTGCTGCTTTGGTTAAACGTGGGGCAGAGGCCGCCCTGAGCTGGCTCAAGTCTTCTCCTAGTTGGCTGGACAGGCAGGAATAGAGAACTATGTTCCATACAGAAATTCTGACCACCAGAAATCTTGTTTAGCCTTTTTTTTTCTTTCTTTTTTTCTTTTTTTTGCTTCAAAGACTTCACCAAACACTTGATACATATTTTCAACCCTTTATTTGTACTGCAAAGGCTAAAGGTATGCTTATTTTTAACAAAAAGAAACAGCTTATATTCTCAGGAGGACCATTTCTCACCCAGTACAAAATTTTGTGAGCATGTGGGATTGCACAGTGCAGCACACCAAACCATGTCTATGAATTGTGAGTCCATAAAATCTCATCAGAGCATCAGCAGATTTCTTGTGAGGAAAAGAACCCCAAAGATTATCATTAAGCATTTAATTGGCTTCTGCTTAATTAGTGCCTCTGCACCTCAAGTAGTAAAATCCAGAGAATAATTTTGAAGGTATAGCTTAAAATATTGGTTTAGGATTAGCCAAGATTATCTTTCAAGCTCATGTTTTTGCAAATGTTGGCCCCAACCAAGTTCAGGATTTCTGTGTGATCATCTGAACCTGTGCAGAAACGGGGGCTTGGTATATACAGAACATGACATGTGAGGGTGAGCTAGCTGATTGGGCTCCATGGTGGGAAGCTGACAACGGCTGATGCAAGTTCTTTGCCACAGGTGGTTTCCCATCTCTTGGCATTGCCCCTGAAATTCTGGAGACGTTTTGTGGGAGAAGAGCAGGAAAACCTAGTGCCATCAGCGCAAAAACCTAATGTAACATATGAGCAAGGTGAGTTAGATGGGGTGTTCTGGGGAGGAAGAAAGGTGAGGGAGGATCCCAGCATATCTCAGTTCCTGGAAGCCTCAAAAAGACCAGGGTGAAGGATCTGCCTCTAGTCCTGCCCTTTCCCTCCATTCACAGAGCGTCTCTTCCATCCTCTTTCTCCCCCTGAAATCTATGCCATCCGGATGAGCCCAGGAAGTGGCTGCCTCCCAAATAAGCTGCGGGACTGCATTGGTACTGCCACCTTCCCACCTTCGTGAGTGATCTGAGGAACTGGCACACAACCAGGTTGTACGTGGCAGGGTGGGGGCCTTGGTAATGCTGCACCAGGGTGTGGAACGATTTTATTGGGAAGGCCAATCCAAGACTCGTGGGAAAGGCTAGACATGTAGATGCCTGGCTCTGTCTAAGATGGGAGTACCGTATCGTGTCCCAGCCTGTCTTTTGCCTCCCAGATGTACATGGTTGTGCCAGTAGAGGAATTGTTCAACCATGGACCGATCTCTTCTGCTTTTGTCTCCTGCCAGGAGTGGCTCCCACACCAAGAAGATGGGCAAGTTTGTACCACCGCCAAAATAAGGAAGCCACTGTGGCTGACCCCCATTCCCTTCACTAACGAAGAGCATGCTCTTATTCCCACTATGAACCCTCAGCCCCACCCGGGAACCTTTTCTTTCCCACTGCCAACTCAGCCCTGAGTTTGTCACAGGTGATGGAAGTGGATGCTTTGCCTTATTTCTCGACAGGGGTCATTGCAACTTTGCCCTGCTCTGTGAATGGGAATCCTCAGAAGAGCAAAATCCTGGACTTTCTCCTGGTGAATCAAAGACTTGGGAGTGGAACAGGAGAACTCAGGCCTCTTCTCGGGACACCGCTGTGGCTGCCTATGCATGGGGTGGGGCCAAGGGAGCCAGAGAAGCACCCAATTTTTCTCCCCACCCCCTCTTTTTGTCCATTATTTGTTACACTTGCATGACAGTTTGATGGTGTTATGTGATGACTGGGGAAAGGAAGAAAGTCATTTGTTGTAGCAATGAAAGGTGTAGGGGCTTTCAAAATTCTTTTCCAGCCTTGTCTTGGATGTACTACGTGAAGCATTTTGCTCTTGGTGGCCTTGCCCAGCTGCTTCCCCCACTGCCTATACAAGATTTTGACTACAAGACCCATCTGCCCCACCTAGCATCAGCAGTGGACAGGAATGATGGATGCAGTAATCAAAAACTTCTAGAGGCCACCTAGTTGGGGAAGGGTGCAGTTGAAGTAAGATTGCACTTAAAGAAGAGTTTAATGTGTGCAGGTTTCTTCAGAATCTTGGTGTTAATTCCTACAGCGCTCCTTGGAATATTCCAGTGTGGTAGGGGATCTAGTGCCTTCCTGGTACTGTTGAACTACAGCTCCTAGCATCCCTGACCTGGCTGGGGCCAGTGGCTGAGTTGGGATTCCAACACCAGGTAGGCACCAAGCTCCCCCACCCCTGTTGAATTACCTCATGCTTGGCCAAGCTAATATTGCTTCTTTTCTACAGTGTGTGTTTAATACAAAACATTCTTTGCATGGACATAAGAGCAACAGGAAGTGAAACCATTCCCTTTCTTGGAGTGAAACCTCACAAAGAGGTCTTAAGGATGTCGTCTGTGTACTTCCTTTAAGTGCAGCAAATGGACAAGAGCAAAGCCTTGTTAATTCCTTTGACTTAATAGGAAAGTTTATCCACCATTGGGTGGCAAACACTAGAATCTTTTTTTTTTGGCCATCTTCTAATCATAAAGGAAAGAGATATTATAACAATCTCATTCAAATGCTATAGTATTAGTATAGAATACAAGCAGAGATCTATTTGCTAAGAACTTTAGCAATAGCATCATACTGGATACTGCCCATATGCAAATTATGCTGTGCTTGCATAAGGAATCAACAGTGTTAAGAGGCAGGACAGGTTTTCTGGGAAAGGCTGTAATTCCAGCCAATGCCCTTGGCTTTGTGCTTTTTCAAGCACAAATCTAAATTATAGTGGCACTAGTATCTGGTAGGGTGGTATCTAAAGTGTTTATCAATGTTAAGGTCTCCCTTCCCTCATGGACAGTATTAAGGTAAAGCCAGGCCCACATTTTATTGCCGGCTGAAGTACAATGATTTTTAAAAAGCAAGACATGTTCAGTCTTGTGCTGAAGGCAGTATTTAAAAACCTGCCTTTTCTGCAAAGCCAGGTTTTCTAATAGGATGTGGGTTTAAAGCAGGACTAATAGGTCTCTGCTTAGTAGGCTCTTGCTTCTTAGGAGGGTGAAAAGCCATCTTCGTTGTCCTTGAATCTGAAGCAGCAGCCATCACCTCCGGGACATGCTTTTGGCCGAAATGAGGAGGTCTTGAATCAAGTTGGAACTTGGCATACTCTGGATACTGTCCCCTCCGGTCAGTGGCAGGTGCTAACGATGGAGGCAAGCGACAGGTGCAGCACCAGACTATGAATAGCTTTCTGGCCATCTGGAAGCAAGGCTAGCACAGGTTTAAGGAGTTGAACATCTCTCTGACAGTTCTGAAATTCAGGTCCTTTGCCCTTAGCACTTCTCCTCTCCTCTTCCTTTCTACATCTTTCCCCGTTGTGGAGAGGCGGGAAAGTGCAACTTGAAATCAGAGCACCCCTGTGGCCTATTAGGAGAAGATGTCTCTCTCTTCATGGGCTGGAGATGCCCACACCTTCGCCTATGTGTTATAGAGGCGTGCAGTGGTGGAGCAGCATCATCAAAGTGAATAGCGGTCAATACCTGCAGAAGGGAACCAATGAGGTTAAAGCACGGCAGGTGTGGCAGCCCGGCCTCTTTCAGGTGGAAGACCAGAATGCTGCAGAGAATGCCATCTCTTTCCATCAGTGACAGGACCAGTTCTAACCTCTCTGCTACTGCAGCACCCTCAAGTATTGGTATCCCCTGTTTTTAGCATTTGCTAATTAACTGATTGTAAGTGTAACCTTTCTAACTCTGCTATAACAAGCTGCCACTGGGGAAGCAGGCCTCGGTCCCATGGGTGTGCCTCTTTCTTTGTAGCGGGGGCTTGCATTATTCACTGGCGACATTTCTGGATCCTTTTGCTGTGGAGTTGAGTTCCATGGCATGTTAGCACAATACTGGACCAGCAAGCCCCGGGGATTATCATTTTAGGGTTGTCACTTCATCTTGGCTTAAAAGATGAAAGAGGTCTGAGGTGGCCTTCCAGCTGCTGGATTACCATGCCCATCAGCCCTTGCCATTGGGGGCAGTGGTAGTCTAGCAACACCCGGAGGGCCACACGTTCTCCTTGGCTCAGAGAATGGGCTCTCCACTAGAAAAAGGCCCAAAGTAGTGATGAATAAAAGTCCTAACGACCCTATGGCTGCTTCTCAACTCCTTTGGTTTGCGCTAGTGGCTTCCTATGTGGCTTGCCTTTAATGGATGCAGGATCCTACCTGTTTTCTTGCTTTCCTTGGCCATGTTGCCTGCCAGCCGTTTTTAATCCCCCACCTACCTTTAGGGAAAGGTGGTTCTCAAGACACGCTGGGGCTGGGGTTGCACAGTCCCCAGGTAAAGAAGCCACATGCCTCAGGTAGGTCAGTCACATGCTGTCCATCTGAACCCAGCAAGGTGTGGGGCCAGGGTGCCCACCAGACTCGTTGTGGGGTTCTGGGGTGCTTTGGAAGCCATGCCCACCTGTTGCACCTCAGCAGGTTTGGATGAATGGCAGTCCATGCACTGTGAGAGCAGTTGGGCCAATTGTGTGGCAGGCGGGAAGAGAAGTGCCCATGGCTTGCTCTGTCAGGTGATCCTGTGACCCTGGCAGGGAGGGTAGTCCTGCTCAAATGCAGTTGGACAACTCAAGCAAGCAGGCTTGGACCGGAGCACTGCATGGATGGGAGGCTCTTTGTGAGGCACATACAGCAAGGGGCCTGGCCCTTTTGCAGTCTGAGACAAATTCAACACCAGGGAAGATTTTGGCTGTAGCAGCCTAGTGGTGGAAGTGAAAAGAAGAGGGGTGAAACCAAACTACCGTCATAGCTGAGCTTCCAGCTCTTACTGCTCTAGCTAAGCCTTGGATCAGGCTTTTCCAACTTGGGGAGGGGAAAGCAAAAACTAGGAAGACTAAGGACTGCAGGCCATCTGCTCACCCCAAAGGATCAAAGTAGGCACACAGGCCTCAAGTTCAAAATCTCCGATGTATGAACTGCACTGATTTCTTTGAATGAAGGACAGGCATGTTATAACTGAAAGGAGGTTTGTGGAAAGGTTTTCTCATAGCCAACTTCAACATTTTAGGCATTGTATTTGCCTGTTTCACTCCATCCTAAACTAGACAGACAGGAACTAAAACCAGGCACTTGAGTGTCAGTGCCAGAAGCAAGCAACAGCTTGCACAGAGAGCATGGCTGCCTTGGTGTAGCACTGAAGGAGGGATGGCCTAGCAAAGCAGAATTTGTGTAAGGAAGAGCTGGGAACCCAGTGGCAGTCCAGATGATTTTGGACTACTCCCATGGCCATGCGGGTGGGAGCGGCAATCCACCAACACCCAAAAGGCCCTTCAGGCGGAGGATGGAACAATCCCAAGCCATGCAGCTTTATGCTTCTGCTTTTTCCTAGCGTAACATGCACTGGCAGAAGCCTGTATTTTCCCAGACGGATCTCCTAACCAGCCTTCCATTCTATTCCGTCTAAAAGTGCATCCATTTCAATGAGGGAAAGAGGCAGGTCAGCTGCTGGCGGCAGCCTTGGAGGGAAGGCAAGATAGCCTAGATGCATAGTACATAAATCCACCCCAGCCAGCTGACCATACAAACATGTAAGAGCACGCAGACATGGCCATACACACAACTAATGCTGGGAGATGGCAGACCTGCACCAGGGAGTGGATGGTACCAGGTAAGGACAAGGCGGATCATTCATACTTAGGGCTGGAAAGAATACAAGTATAAATAGCAATATATCTGTATACTTTCCTGCCATAAATATACTTAGTGGGTGCCTTAAAAACCTCACTTTAAAAATGGAGGGTTCCGGTTTGACAGATCAGCAGATTCATAAAAGAGGAGTAACTCCATAAACAGGGGTCTTGGAAGTTTTGCATTGTTCCTAAGATGCTAGTATCTTGGAGACACTTGGAGCACATGAATTCTTCCCCTCGCCCCCCAGAAAAAAGGCCAAGGATCCCACTGCAGAAAGGATGCTTGAAGGTCTGCTCTGCTTTCCAAACTAGCTTTTTAAAGTGGGATTTTGATGGGGTCACAAAGTTTTCATTTGGAAGGAATTCATAGACTGCTAGATAGTGTAGCTGGTGCTGAATGTGTCCTCTGAATAGAAACATTGAATAGTGAATTATTGTAATTCAAAATACCATGTTTTTAGCCTGTCCCTCACTGACTGTTTTGATATTTTTACTGCTGCTGTTTTTTTATGAGTGGCAGAAATTTTAGTCTTAGTGTTTTATGATAACTCTATTAAAAGTGGTGAAGTTTCAGCTTAGAGAAACAGCTTTGTGGGGCAATGGGGAGTCAGTCAGCATTGCTTCTGCTAAGGAAAGCCTTAAAACTAACTTATGAGTTTCTTAACAAAGAGGGGTGCCCTCCTGCTTTCATGCTGTACATGTAAAATTCCCAGAACATCTGAGTGGCCATCTTATAAAATAAGATGCTGGCCTTGACGGGCCCCTGGGCTGATCCAGAAAAGCTCTCATGTTCTTCTTCATATAGTCCCAGTTCTTGGAAAGTACTTTTCTTCCTCGCTGGCAGTATAAGGAAAAGTATCCAGGCGTTGCAACACTAAACTTGCACCAGTCTCTCAGTGGCATCACAAGGAGAGCATGACACAGCATGTCACAGGTGCTGGCCACTTGGGAACCACGTTCGGTGGAATATGCCCAACTGCAGTGCACAGACCAGCTGCTGCAAAATACACATTGTCCTACTGAAAATAATGAGGCTTCTGCTAAGAAAATCTGTTCTGTGTTTGCATTAGGAATGGTTCCAACAGGCAACAGATCTGTTACTGCTCTGCCCAAAGACGTTCCCATGAAACACACACATTGCTTTTCCAGTGCAGGGATGGTTTTGTTTGTTGCCTGAAGCAGAGACACCCAGATTTGTTCTTCACCTCTTCCCACACAGCAAATACCTCCATCTGTTGGCACATACTGTGCAAGTGCCAAATGAACAGGGATAAAAGAAACTCCCAGCTGACTGGGGTTGAAAGGGATGCAGCTAATCCTAATGGCTGGGAGCCCAGCTCCAATTCCATTGGGTGTATCAGGAAGATGCTTTCTTACCAGAAAGCCGAGGGAAGCTGGGACTCGGCCTGTGTGAGGTGCAGTGCTGCCCCACTGAGCCCACTTTCTCGCCCCCAGCTCTGTCACTTGCCCAGCACCACTCCCCCTTGCTTGCTTGACCGGCCGGAGGCCAGAGAGACAGTGGCGTCTCCTGCTCCTGCTTCTCACCCTCGTCTGGGCCAGAGTGAGAGGGCTGGTGAACAAGCGGGTTGCAGCAGCAAGGAGGAGGGGCAACACCGCGGGGTGGCTCTTGGTGCACCCTGCTGAGGTGCAGGCACTTGGCAGGTGCCCAGCCAAGGCCCCGCCTGCTAACAGCTCTGTGTATGTGTATAGGCCACAAAGAGGCACCCACAAGGCTGCCACTCAAGGTCCGCCATCAGCAGCACTGGCTTCCCTTGCGGGCTGGATGCTTGGTGCTCAGACAGAAATACAGACCTGGCTTGACCGGACGGACAAGAGAGACCCAGCAGCAAGGCAAAAATGAGCAGCAAGGGCGAGGCCAGGGCCAGGGGCCTACCTGAGCTGGAGAGAAGCGGAGGAAATGGAGGGTACAAGTGGAGGAAGGATGGAGCGTCGAGCAGCTTAAGAGTTTAGGGCATCGATACCTGCAGGCGTGAGCACCAGGGCTTGGAGAATGTCAGAGAGGGACACAATCCCCCGTGGGGTGTTCTTCTCATCCACCAGAACCAGGCGATGGACCTGCCAGATAAGTGAGCCACACAGCATCACCAGGTGAAGAGCGAAGATGAATTTGTGAGAGCCAAATGGCAGCGGTACCACCCCAGCCACAGAAAAGCCGCAGCACTCTTTCCCTTGGGCACAGTATTACTAATGGGCTGGATTCCAACTTAGTCATACCTAGAGCAGACCAGCTTAAATGTGCCATTGATTTCAGCAGCTCTATTCCAAGTATGAATCCAACTTATTGAATAGTACTAGTAGTAGCATTCCCATAGTGGACCCGAGGGCAGCAAGAGATTTAAGGTATAGGGCATTCTGGGGAAAAATTAAGAATATAGAGGTAGTGTTAGGTAGATTGAAATTTAGGATACAGCAACAGTAAGGTATATTGTGCCGTACAACCGGTCTGGATAATTTTGAAAGGTGTTGTGTGGGATGAAAGTGCCAAATGCTGGTCCTAAGCCAAGCTTTAGAGCCACATCACAGTCTTTAAAAGTAAGTGCATTCATGTGGGCTGGAATCCTCTGTTGGCTGTAAATTGTTCCACCTCATGAACAGGCAGCTCCAGCCATGAAGCAGGAGCCAGGACTTGCCAAGGCATCCTGCAGACCTGCTGATTCTGCATAATACGTGCAGCGGCCTTCGGATTCCTGATTCTGAACATGAAGTTCACACCACTCAATCAAGATGGTTCCACTTAAGTTAGAGACCTTACTCCTGAACCATTTGCCTCTTGGGCAATCATCCTTCTTTCTGTGGGTCATTGGAGGGGCCTTGCCCAGGGCATTTCCCATATGAGCATCCTTTGCCAAAACTAAAGGAACTTTCCACAAACTGCCCCCTCTTCCTGGCCCAAAGCATGGACGTTCTTTGCCCACCACTCAGAGGAAAGTGGTGGGCAAGCAGGCAGGGAAAAGTGGATAAACAAGTCAGGGTTTTTAGCAAGACGCAAAAGCGTTTCTCGGCTTGAATCCAACATGTAAAAGCAAAAGAAGTTAGATGGTTGGTAAAGGGGGAAATCTCCTAATTCCAATTCTCTGGCTCACCCTAGGAAGCCTTATGAGCAAGTCCATGCATCAGAGACTAGTAAGTGCCGCTACTGCCCTCTTCCTTGTTCCAGCAGGACTCTCCCTGCTGTGCCTTGGGCCAAGAAAGGGAACCGAAGGAAGGAAGCCCTCCCCTCCGTGCTTCTTTCATCTTCCCCATGGAAGAGCCACCAATAGTCTAACACAGCCCTTTCCAACCATGGGTCCTCACACATTGTTGGACTACACCTCCCATCATCCCTAACCATTGACCATTCTGGCAAGTGATGATGGGGGTTGCAGTTCAACAAATCTTTGAAACCCAAGATTGGGAAAGACTGTCATGTGTTCATCATTAATATTGAGGAGGTGGCCTTTGCAGGTTGCCAGAGCCTCACTGCTTTACTGAACCTGTCTGCATTTCTCCACACCTGAAAGCACAATCAGGCGATTCTTGGGCGACTGGATACCTCCCAGGCTGACAGGTCTCCAGCCAGGAGCTCCTACCATATGGGGCATGTGAAGAGGCATACACTAACTGCTACTGCAAGGCACGTGCCAATGCTGCAAACTTGGCCCAAGGACAAGCTTGAGGCTGGGAGCTTTAGAATGCGACTCCTGGCACAGCTGGGGGCAGCAGCGGGCAATGATTAAGAGGTTTCAACTCTGCTTAAAAGGAAACCAAATCTAAAGCCAGATTTTGGGGGCCTTGAGGGATAGCAAAGTTGTTGCCAAAGACTAGCTCTAAAGTAAAGCCCTGCAGAATTGTGCCCCTCTCCCAGAACCTCTGTCTTACCTGCTCCTTGGCAATGCGGTCGATTATGGTTTCCATGGTTTCGTAAGGCTGGCATGTAAGCACCCCCTCTAGGCAAATGCTGCGCTGCTTCAGTGCTTCCCCCACACTTATGTCCAGGTTGTTGTAGGACTTCTGGGCAGCCAGATGCTATGGAGAGGGAGCATAAAGATGAGGCGAGGTTGGGAGCGCAGGTAGCACATCATGCAGGCAGGGGAATTAACAGTGCCAGGGACTGTAGCCACCCTGAGCCTGCTTGCCTACAGTGGGAGAACTCAAGCTTTGATACACAAGAAGATGGCTTGGGGCTCAGGAGTCCCAGACTGGTCAAATGCTGCTGGGATGGATCCCTTTCTTAAATAGAGCACACATTCCAGCAAGCTGCTGCTAACTGAGTCAGGCGCAGGTCCTTCCATGCTGTCCACCAGCCCCCTGTCAATGAAACAGCTGTGGGGTGTTCTCACTGCTCCGTCTCTCTCTCCTGCTTGAGCGACCCCGTCTCCAAAGGTAAGCAGCACCGCACCCCTTGAGGCAAGACAGGGAAGCATCCCACTTTTTTTGGCTTCACTTCTTTAAGTATGTGCCTCCCCCGCCACATGCTAGACTGGCAGGCTCTCAGTCCTCACTGCGCTGCCCTGTCAGCGAAGACAGCGAAGCCGCTTGGATTATGCTCCTGCTTGTCTGACACTCTGAACCCGGAGCGGGGAAGTGGGGGCCTGTGTTGTACTTACAATCACATCGAAGCGGGAGTACAGGCCCACGACCTTCCCTGAAAAGCAAGGGAAGGGAAGACAGCATTATGAACCGTTCCAGTCAGTTGAGGCAGCCCACCCATTACCCCAGTTCACATTGCTATGATCCTTTTTTAAAGGAGAAAATATGTCAAAAGAGATTTTAACTAAGCAAGTATTCCATAGGTACCCAAGATGTCTACGGTTGTGAAGCACAGCGGTGGGGAGGGGGAATGGAAAAATGGGAGAAACTGTTTCTTCTGGGCCTTCACATTTCTACAGAGCTACAGAAAGGATTGCCACATGTCCACTGAAAGTAGGGGGACTCCATTCACAGAGCATCTTTTCATAATGTCGGCTTATACAGTGGTACCTCGGCTCACGAACGGCTCAGTTCACAACCAAATCGGGTCACGAACAAAAATTTTGACTCAGGTTGCGAACTCCGCATTGGGTGGCAGCCGCGATTGTGGCCATCTCCCCCCCCCCAAGAGTCGCGATCGTGCTGGGGGGGGGGGCGGGGAGATGGCCACCATCTTTGTTGTTCTTTGCCACTTTGCTTCACATTTTTCGGATTAAAAAAAAAGTTACAGAACGGACTAACCATATTTACACTGAACCTTATGGGGAATTTTAACTTGGGTCACACCCAATTTGGGTCACGACCAGAGTCCTGGAATGGATTAAGTTCGTGAGCCAAGGTACCACTGTATTGTCTTCTGAAGTTAAAGAGTGGCACTGTCCATTTAACTAACTATGTATCTCATTAAGCCATTCCCTCTTTTGCCTCTACTACTTGGCAAGCAGGATTTTAGCAATCGGTAATACAAATAAAAATGGCTCTTCTAATGCATTTAACTTGGATAAGGGGATGTAAGAGCAGGTCTGAAAGGAGCTGAATCAACAGCATTTCTTTAAAAATGGTCATCACCGTCACTCAGGGTCCAGTTACTTGCCCGTAATTCCACCAGATGTGGCAGCTGTCTCCCACCTCCCACAAAAAAAACCCAAACCTCCCTTGATGTGCCTGGCAATGCCAGCATTTCCTGTTGCCTATTTTATAAGTGATAGAAATTTCAACATTGTGAAATTCTCTAGATACTACTTTGAAACTGCTTCCCTTCAACTTAAAGCTCTGGTCTTGGGTCCAACTTAAGACTGCAGTGTGACGTACACTTACCTGGGAGCAAGTCTCATAGTATTCAGTGGGACTTACTTCCTATTCTTCTACATAGGATTGTGCTGTGAATTAGTAGCCTTTAGCTTGTGTTGAAATCAATACGACTAGGTAGTTGTAACTTATGTCACTGCCAGTAACTAAGCCTTAAAAAAGGCCATAGAGTGCAGAAAAATTACACAAATCAGGGAAACCTCCAAACAAGCTGTGGGGGAAAGGGGACAGGGAGCACAGCCATCTACGAAACCCAGGACTGACACCCCTTGCAGACTAGACCTGACCTACGGACCTAAGATACTCCAGTGCTGCACTGAGGCAAGGATGCTGGACAAACTGTATTCTCTGGCAAACTGACAGCCACCAGTTCTGGGTGCAATGGAGGAAGCATGCTGGTTAATAAAGCAGGTGTGGGGGAGAAGAAAGCAAGACAACGGCAGGAAGCAAATTTCATGGGGGAACCATGTAAGTCAGATCAGCAGCAAACTGGACACTCAGGAATATGAGGGTTCTTCAAAAAGTTTCCACACTTTTAGCTGAATTTATTAAGAATTTCAAAAACAAATTACATCACTTTTCTACATAGTCACCTTCCTTTGCAATGCATTTTTCCCAGTGTCGTACCAACTTTTTAATGCCATCACCAAAAAATATATAAAATATATTTTTAAAATATAAAAGTGCAGAAGACCCTTTGTATATGGTGAAAGGAGAAGGGCTGGGGTGCCAAGAAATAATGAGGAGGTCAGGAAAATTGCTTATAGAAAGAATGTTGGCTTTGACACATGCTGTAGAAAATACTACTTATGTACACCTGCAACAATGAAAAGCCAAACGAACACCACTAACCATGGATTGTGACCTGATCACAACTTTGCTTCTGCAGTCCAAGGAGGCAGTACATAGAGGAAGCTTACCACGGCCTTGAAAGGTCAATATCTGTCACTGAAGAAGGTGTTGAACTCAACTTCCACAAGCTATTCAGGCCTAGCATGGCACGGACAGTGGAGTCTTCAAGTAAAGAGCCATCTACTTTGGCGTCAGGGGTGAGCTGAAGACAATCCTTGATCTGGATCAGACTTCAGTAAAGTGAGCCCCTTGGCCATCTGCCATGTATTCTTTACCTAATCAATGGATTCATATGCTACTGGTCAAAATTAAAAATATATCTATGTGGTTTACATGGATGGAATCCCACAATCCATACAGGCAATTGTCTTTTCTGTGGCAGGCTGCCTCACTCAGTGTACAGATTTATGGGCATAGCTGAATTCTCTTGGACTGGAACATACACAGTCTCTCACACAGGCCTTCCCATCATGGTGTATGTGCCTGCACATTTTAATGCTACCTGTTGGGAATGAAAGAGGCGGTTATTCTTGGTATGCTCTTCAGGGCCAGGCACTGACTCTTCAGATGAGGGAAGGGATGGCTGGGAAACAAGGTCTGCAGGCACAGAGATTGTATGGGGGAGAGCGCTTTTCTCAAGGCCCCCATCTCCAAGTGTTCACATAGACCCTGGAAACTGACGGGGTTTGGAAGTCTGGGAGGAGACGTGGGAGAGGAGAACGAGGCGCCTGGTCCAGTCCCTGACCCCATGATGTGATGTCAGAAGAGAAGGGCTATCCAACTAGGGGGCCTACATAGATCCAGGAGGCTCACCCTTTGCCAGAGGGGCACACCCAAAGGGTGAGCCCAGGGTTACTGAAAAGGAGGGTTCTCAGAAATAGTTTCTAGTTTGGGTTCAACAAACTGCTCTTTGCATGTTCAGAGACTCTTTTCTCTATTATGAGTTTGCTGGCTGCACACTGAAAATAAAGTGCTTTTTGCCAAAGAACTGTGTGTTGCTTGAAAGCAAGAAGGAGGGAAACCAGCTCCTGAAACTAGGAGACCATTAAAGGCAGACACAGAGAGAGGGAGCTGGGAAGAGAGGACTGTACAAGAGCGCTCCCATACGTTCCAGCCCAGATTTAACATTGAGCAGGACCGGCCCTCACACTAGGCAGAGCCACTCACACCTCTTGTAGCAGGCGCTGAGGGGTGCAGAGTGATCAAAACCATGCCACGGGTCCAGCCCTTCACCCCCAAAATCCGGCTCCTGCTCTCAGGTGTGCTGGAGAGTGGTGTCCCTGTGCTGAAACATACGCAGCTGCCAGTCCAGTTGGCTTTTGCACATGGAACGCAAGGAGATGCCATCTTGTCTTCTCAGGCTGGCCCTGCAATGAAGTGTAGCTAAACAGCTTTTGCATGGCTAATGGCACCCCATAGGAGAGGGGTCTGGTCATTTTGAACACTCCCTGTGCAAAATCTTCCTGCAAGTTCAGAACTAGTATGTCAAGGGGAGGGGCTGTGGATTCATCTTCACATGGAGGAATTGGGCCCAAAATCTCTGTAGAAACACCTCAGGAGGACATGGGAACTGATTTTGAGTCAGGCAAGGGCAATGGCTGAGGGGGAGTGTTGTGGAGCTCCAAGGTCATGGGAGCAGGAGATCAGTGAAGACAGCGGAGATACAAGTGAGGAGACCCAGCTGATGTCTAATAATTCAGAAGACAGCAAGCTGGGCTTCTGCATCCATGGAAACACCAGCTCCTAATGAAGAGGAGGAAGAGGTGGCAATATGAGGCCAAGAGTTAGGCGTCAGATGCGGAAGGAGGGGCAATGCAGGGCCACAAGGCAGTTAAAGCGACTCGCAACCAGGGAGGTGACCTGCGAAAAGCGCTTCTTGAGAGAGGGACCTTCTAGGCCACTGTCATGTCCTACCTGGAGGTGGATTCCTCAGATGGAGAGTACCAGTTCAGTGGGCCCCAGTCACAGCCCAGTGCAAGGGCTGAGGCTGCAAATGACGGCCCTCCATTCGAGGAGCAGTCTGCTCCCTCTTGGGCACTCCCTGGAGCAGAGGGAATTCAGCCCTTAGAAAGGAGGAGGGGGAGTTCCCAGCTCCGGCCGAGTCCAAACAACAGGGTCAGCATGGAGCCTTCCATGAGACAGCATGCTGGCCTAATTAGTCAGCTCTGGTGATTTACAGCTGGCTATAAATTAGATCAGACAGAGCCTGCTCCATGTGGCAAACAAGCATTGCTTTCCAAGTTCTCTGGCTCCGTTAAAAACCAATCGTTATCTAGACATTTGGCTCGTTTCCTGGACATTCTTTCGGACATCCTCACCTGACTTGAAACTTCAGACACTGACAATCCATGTGGCCTTGACTCTCGGCCTGAACGGATGATTTTGTGGAAGGTAATGCCAAGACTAGGCATGTGCGGGCACAGGGCAGGACACCCCCTCAGCTTGAGAAGGCCGAGCTGTAGCAGACAATGTCAGCTTTGTGGTAAGTCGTTCATGACACGTCCTTGGAGAACCAACTGAAGCTTCCAAGATACCGCATCATGCAACGGCTGTCTGGAACTTTTTTTTTGGCCGTGAAGGACTGTAGCCTGCTTGTTTGTAATTTGTTTAATAAAAATAATCACTAGTAATGCAGCTTGATAGCTTGACCACCAAGAGAACCAGAGGCAGGCACATAACTTCTTGGTAACAGATAGGGATTCACCTTCATTAGGGTTCAAGTGCTTAGCTGGAAATGGAAAATGTGACACAACAGCTCTGATGGTTTGACAAACAGCACAGAGGGTTTGTGGGGTAAAAAAGCAGGGAGGCTGCTGGGTGTGTGCGTGAGCACATGAGAGAGAAGCCCAGCTGACGCTGCAAAGGGAGGGAAGAGCAATGCGGGGTGGCACCCCACACCAATACCTTTTTCGTTGATGACAGGGAGCGCTGAGACCCTGCGGTCCACAAAAATCTCCAGGGCTGTGTAGACAGGAGCCGAGTCCAGCACCATGGCAACATCCCGGAAGGTGCCAATGCCCAGTTCCTGAATGGTTTTCTGCAGGAAGCGTGGCTTGGGAAGCATCCCTCCCTGCAGGGAGAGAGGAGGCTGCTGTAAGAGCTGGAGATTGAAGCGGTGTGTGAGGAGGGCAGGCCACTATGGAGCACGGTGTGATATTGCTCTCTGAACCCATTTTCCCTAGTGCTTGTCCCTTTCCCCTAAAGTGGGGCATTCAACCCCTTTCAGCCCAAGTGCCAATTCCATTTTGCAGAAGTTCTCAGGCCACATTCCAGTGGCAGGAAGGAACAATGGTAAAAAGAGCAAGGACAAAATCTGACTACTGACAAAATTTAGCTTAAAGCTCTTCCTGCCACTGGCTAAAACTTAAGAGAGGTATTTCCTTCTCTGAGAATGGAGAAGCACTCACAAAGATATGCAGAAACTTGAGAATTCGTTTGTGGGTCAGGATATGGAGGACATTCCCCGAGATGGGCTCAATAACAGGCAGCCGGTGGATCTTGTTCTTGATCAAGGAATAAACGGCATCGAAGAGGCTAGAAAGGGAGACAAAACGGGCCACGTGATCTGCCTGGCGACTGGCTAGGCAACTGCCCCATACCCAGGCAATTCATTCACCAGATCTGCTCAACCACTGCCACACGGCACAGATAAAGAAGACTGAGAAGAAGAGGATGGGTTGGGAGGAAACTAGGAGTGCCACCCCATTGTGGACAAGTTGCTTAACAGGCAGGGATCAAGAGGGGAAGGCTTTTCTGGCAAGGAAATGATGGCTCAAGGGCCACTCTTTGCTGCCCATGGTGCACCTCTGAAAGGCACCAAGTCTCTCTCCATATAAGCCTGGCAATAGGGCGTTGCAGTTCTCACTACGGGGGTGGCTCTCGTGTTGGCAGGGAGGGCACCTGTTTCGATCTCCCACTCTGCAGCTTTGCCTCTCCGTCGTGAGCCACGTGGGCCTCTTCACTCCTCAAGCCTTGCCCAGCTCCTCTTACACAACGAGGGATGGCCCGGATCTGGTCGTGTACGGGTGGTGGGGTGGGAATCGTTGCAATGGGCCACCCAGCAGGACATGGTGGTGAGCCTCTAAAGCGGCTTCCGTCTACTTGGTGCCTTCCATGCCCCCACAGAGGGGCTGCAGTAGCTAGCTGGCCGGGGGATGATGCGAATTGCAGTCCAACCCAGCAAGGAGGCACGAGGTTAGCTAGGTTGCCTTCCCCACCCCACTCCAGCCTCTGATACAGAAGGGGCGAGGAAAGCACCAGGAATGACGTACCTGTCGTTGGGAGAGATGAACACCAGGGGTTTGAAGGAACCTTGCAGATACACCTCTGGGGAGAAGAAAAAGCACCTGTACAGTATATTACCTTGACAGGATGGGAAAACACCTGCCTCTGGTTGAGGAAAGGGTTGCTGCCTGGAAAACAAACCTGGAAGAAGGGCTTCGATGGACGTCCAGCCCATTTAGAAGGATGGTGATTTGTTCCCATGTTAGTATAAATTGCCTTGGGATCACTGCATTACAGCCATGCTCACCCTCCAAATGTGTGGGACTCCAACTCTCATCATTCCCAGCCATGCATTTGGAGGGCATCAGGCTGGAATAGCTTGCTTTATCATATACAGTCTGTGTGATAGATTATCAATAGGATATTTTTAATATCCTGCTTATAACATGTGACCTGGAGGCATCTCAGCAATTGGTGCAGGCCTCATAGAAGCCTGTATTGGAGCTGGTTCCATTCGTATCACTTCCAGAAGAAAGAGGCACCTTTCTCTGCTGTAGCAGACGGTAACACTGGAGAGCCAGGGTGGTGTGGCATTTAAGAGCATGGGACTGGGGCTCAGGAGCTCTGGGTTCTGGTCCCCACTCAGCTGTGAGTGACTTTGGGATAGTCACAGACTCTCACCCCATCTTACCTCACAGGGTTGCTGTTGTGAGGATAAGACTGAGGGGAAGGGAAGAATGGCATAAGCCACCTTGAGTTCCTTGAAAGGAAAAAAGGTGCAATATAAATATAATACAGTAATTAATTAAAAGCAAGGACATCACTCTTCTGTTATCCCCACTGTGGCCCTGCATATATGTGTAAACTGTTTTGAGAATGTTATGCTAATCCAGTGATGGCAAACCTTTTAGAGACCAAGTGCCCAAACTGCAACACAAAACCCACTTATGAATGGCAAAGTACCAACATTACAATCAAACCTGAAAACTGAGGTTTTAGTTTAGAAAAAATAACTCATAGCCAGTCCAAGCAAATACACACACACACACACACAGTATATCCTTGGCAGTGCACTGAACAGCCATGCGAAAGCTCTGAGGAGTCGCGACTAATGTGTAGCATGCACATGGCCCCTGTGTGCACTGTTATCCAATGCTCAGCTGCTGGCATGATGCTCGAGAGAGGGCTCTCTCGCTCTCTCACGAGCCAACAGAGAGGGCTATGCGTGCCCGCTGTGGCATGCATGCCATAGGTTCACCACCATTGTGCTAATCTACTGGTATATAAATGCTTTAAATAAATACATAATATGAACTGGGGAAATAAATTCTGTACGGTGGTGTCATCTGTCACATAATGCTTCTTTCTTCAAACTATGTCCTCTTGTGTGACCAGGGCAGAGGAAAAAAAGAGAACAATACCCCCCTGGAAGCTTCCGCCAAACCTTAAATCACTTCTGCTTCCACTTTGCTTTAGATGCTGGCTGCCCCATTCCTGCCCTTTTAAGCCACCACTTAAATGAAGGTGCGTCCCTTAGGAACCCTGCAACCTCTGTGGAGACCCTCGCTCCACCCAACCCAGAATTGTCGGCACCAACTGGCTGCAGCTTTGCAGGATTCCAGGCAGATTCCTTCCCACCCTTCCCGGCAGTGCTGGGCAGTGAACCCGAGATCTTCTGCATGCATGCCAAGCAGCTGCCCAGCACTGAGCCACAGCCCCCTCCTTCTTATGCTGGTGGACACATGAGGAGGGGGTTGAATGTGAAAAACAGCAAACTTGGGGCAGGGGGTGGGCAGCAGGCTAAAACCCAAAATATCCTAGAAATATCCTAAAACATGCAACAGTTGTGCAGAGGAGGCGAACTGGCAGCTGCTGTTTCTCTCATCCAAGCGACAAGCATTGCAATGGCTTCATTGTGCTGCACTGTATTTCTTTCTGCTATCTTAATCAGCAAGGGTGGTGACAGACAGGAAGCATTTGCCCAAGCACAGCAACAGTCCAGTCGTGAAAGCATATGAACAGCATGGAAGAAGGAAAGGTCAGGGAGGAGGGGATCTTTCCAATGAACATAAGCAAACTTTTCCCTCCACCAAACTGCAGCAAAAGAGCATGTACCTAAATGTCCAGATCTAAAGAGAGAACATCAGACAATTAGGCATTTTTCTTGTTAAGGGAGAAAGAGTTTAATCTGGACTAACCACTCACAGGCAGATGTAAACACACACACATATATTCATGCACGGAGAGGGCAATGCTTGTGCCACTGATGCTAAGCAATTATACTGAATTGTCTCCATGCATCTGTTACTCCCCTTAGCGGTGCCCACCTCACCTCTCCATGTTTCAATTTTGTGTTCCTCGATCTCATATATCTGAACCTGAAAGAACACAAAATCACACCAGTGAGACGAAAGAGACAACATCACAGTCCAACAGGATAAGATAATTTAGAGTAGTTTTTATTGGGTTATATCTGAGTTAGTTGACGGTATTAAGAACATAAGAAATGCCATGCTGGTTCAGACCAATGGATCATCCAGTCCAGCACTCCATTGCTGCAAGCCATACTGAGATATTTATATGAAGGACAGCATAGAAAAGTTTTTAACTAATACATACATAAATAAATAGACCACACAGAGGTAAACCATCTGTCCACAAAATCTTTAAACAGCTTGGCTACAAGAGTCCTGCCTGTCCAAGCGTCTCAGCAAATGGAATAAGCAGGCATACCACCCCTGAAGACAGAGGGAGCAACAAAGACAGGAAGGGAGGTAGCCTTTGATGGCCTCCTCCTCCTCCATGACTTTGTCCAATCCCCAGGTTAGTGGGCATCAGAGATCCCAGTTAGTGGGCATCATTACTTCCTGTGTTGGTGAATTCCACAGTTTAACTATGCACTGTGTGAAGAATTGCTTCCCTTTATCTGTCCTGAATCACCCACCAATCAGCTTCACGGGGAGATCCCAAGTTCTAGTACTGTATTATGGAAGAGGGAGAAAAATGTCTCCTTCTCCACACCATGCATACATTTAAACACCTGCATCACATCTCCCCTTACCCTTTTCTCAGCTAAACAACCTCAGTTGTTGCAACCATTCCTCAACTCCTTGATAATTTTTGTGGCTCTTCTCTGCACTTTATCCAATTCAAGAATGTCCTTTTTCAAGTGCACTGACCAGACCTGTACACAATATTCTAAGTGTGGTTGCACCCAAGATTTGCATAAGAGAAGTACAATCTTGGCAGATTTATTTTTAATTCCTTCCCTAATTATGCTTACCATGGAGTTTGTCTTTTCACAGCAGCTGTGCACTGGGACAACATTGTCATCAAGCTGTCCACCATCAACCTAAGATCCCTTTCTTGATCAACTGTTTGGTGGGAAATTCCAACCAGGCAAAAGAAAGCACTTCTTAACCCAGCACATAGTTAAATGATGGAATTTGCTACCACTAACTGCAATGATGTCCATCAATTAAGAAATGACTTTAAAAGGGCTCCTAGTTCTGATGGCTATCCGCAACCTCTGCTGTCGGAAGCCGTATGGCTGCATACAAAAGTTGCTCAGGAACATCGGTGGTGCTGCACCCATCTCTTGCTTGTGCATTTCTGTGGGCATCAGGCTGGCCACGGCGTGACCAGAACGCTGGACTAGCTGGAACCTTGCTCTGGTCCAGCCAGGCTCTTTTAATGTTTTTATGTCATTCGGGGGCACAACACCTAACACCTCTTGAGGGAATGGGCCCTTCAGAGAAACAAAATCCTGATTGAAGAAGCAATGCATCACACCCAATAATTGCCTATCCCCTGGCTTGTTTTCTTAGACCCTAAATTGCTCCCCTTCCCTGATAAGATGCATTTGTGGCAACCCCTCAGATCCAAGAAGTAGACCTCCTGCTTGTGTTGAGACAGATCTGTGCACATGTAATCACACACACTCACTCTTTGCTTGGAATGTGCCCTTTTCCCTAAGGAGATGTTTCTCCTCAGTTTTGACGCTGGTTTAGGCTTGCTGATCCCAAGCCTGCAGCCAGGAATAAGAGGGGGGAGGAGGAAGTTACAAGAATGGTTTGAAGGCACCAGGGACAACAGGCAAGGGGGTACTGTCCTACTTGTGGGCTAGTTGACCTCTGTGTGAACCGAATGCTGGGCTAACAACCTCATTTGATCCACGTTGCTCTTAAATGGCTATTCCCTGCATTGGCAGGGGATCAGACTAGATATCTTTATGGTCCTTTCCAAAGCTGCGATTCTATTATTCGACTTTGAGACTCCGCAACAGAGTTGTACAGTGCTTCTTGGCAAGACAACTGAATCTGTATTAAGGCTGAACACTTGGGTGTCAGCTGAAATTCCCCATGATATTACTCAGAATTTCTGAAACATTTTGAAATGACAATGACTTTTATGTTTCATTTGTTAATAAACACGAGCAACTAAACACTATGTTCAACTGAAATAACAAACTTTTCAATACAACTGGCATGTCCACATGACCCTGTGGGGGAAACATGGTGCCTCATCTGCATCCCTGGTCTACATTTAAAAACCTTTGTCCATCAAGTGATGGGACTTGGCTCTTGAAATCCCAGAGCTCTAAGGCACCCACACCTGCAACTTCAGGCTGTCCCAACCAGGGAGAACTTCAATCCCCAGCCTCCCCAGCCAACATGAGAAATGGTCATGAATGCTGGGAGTTGAGGCATGAATGATCCTGGGAATGAAATGCTGGTTCTGCTTGTACTTCAAGGGTTCTTATCCCTCTGTTGTCCTGCTCCGTTCCTGTCCTCTCTCCATTTGGCTGGAGATTTGTTTGCTTGTTTGGGATATTTCTAACCCGTTCAATAACTATCTGTCTCTGGAAATCCTGCAAACTGGTTTGCTTTGACTCTGAGAAGAGGGCTGATGTATGGAAAGACTCACCAGAGGGGATCGGTAGTACCGCTGTAGGACATTAATGAAGTCAGTGATGGTCAGCATACCTGCAGGAAGAGGAAAAGAAGAGAAAGAGAAAGAACACGCACCACACAGGAAGAGGGCTGGAAAACCTGCAACAACATAGCTATGGGGTGGCATACAGATGCGACAGACAGACAGACCAAGGGACCTATATCAGGAATTCACAACTTTGCTGCCCTGTCAGCTGGGGAGGGTACACAAATGCTTAAAAAGGAAGTGGGATCAGGACGCACAGCGCAGAGAGAGACTCGGGATCTCTAGCGTGGGAGGAGACTTCAGTCTAAAACCCTTTCCAGCGATCTTGCTCAAGCTTGTTGGGATGTTGGGTGGGCTGCTTTGGGGGTTAATGAGGGAGGAAGAGGCTGAGGCTGCCTCCCAGCCACCCTGTTTGGGATCGCAGCTTCTCTGCTGCTGCAGCAGTACGGAAGCCGCAAGTCTGATCTGCGTGCATTTGGGGGGTGGTTTTAGTGAAGGCAGAAAGTGGGTCGTGGGGACTGTACAAAAGGCCCCTAGGAAACTTGCAGCCCATGCCCCTCTGGCCTGAGCTCAGTTCATGGGGCAACAGAGCCAGGCCCAGGTTGATGCAAGTCTTAAATAAATCACTCTCAGGATCGTGGCATACTTCAAGTTCTGCCTTCTTGGTCATGCCTTACACAGCCTGAGTGGCCAGAAGTCTCATGACACCCTCAGTCACAATTCACACTGCCCTATGCCCAGCCACTGCTACCCTCTAAAGACCTTATCTCTGCATCACTTACCCACAAAGCACTGCTTCCTGCTGTCCCAGAGAGGGGCGGCTCGCACCCCGTTGGCCACCAGGGCCAAGAAGGCCTTCTTAATCTGGGGACAGAGAGGAGAAGAGCTGCATTCAGCAGAGCAGGCTGCGCAGGGGGAAATCTGTTTTCCTCATGTCCGTGCCCCATAGAGCGGTCCTCTCACCCCCTTCTGCTAGCCTTATCACTGCTCAATATTTCTGGTGGACCTGGAAGACAAATATCTTCCTAGTCTTCTCGGCATCCAATAAGCTACTGGTTCAAGAGCAAGGTGCGATTAACACTGACATCTCCAGACCACCTGGGACCAGGTTGTGCTAGGAACTCTCTCACTCCTTATGCCCCTGTCTGATCTCTGTCTGAGAGCCAGTGTGGCATTTATTTTATTTATTTTTTCGATTTATATCCTGCCTTTTTCCTACAAAGGGCTCAAGGCAGCTTATATCATTCTCCTCCTCCATCTTATCCCCATAGCATAGTGGTTAAGAGCATAGGACTGGGACTCAGGCGATCTGGGTTCTAGTCCCTGCTCAGCCATGGAGCCAACTGGGTGACTTTGGGCCAGTCACAGACTCTCAGCCCAACCTACCTCACAGGGTTGTTGTTGTGGGGATAATATGGAGGAGGAGAATGATGTAAGCTGCCTTGAGCCCTTTGTAGGAAAAAGGCAGGATATAAATCGGAAAATAAATAAAACAAGCAAATAAATAATCTCTGGAATTTGCTGAAGGAGCACTTGCTGAAGAGCCGTCAGGGTGGCACCCACCCTCCAGAATGCCTGACGAAAGCAAAGGAAGCAGCTGATGGCAGGCAGGCCTCACAGTGCTGATGTATTCTTAAAACTCATCTCTTTACACATGTTTCACCTGAACTGTGACCCATGCAGCTGTGGTCTGAATAGCGCTCTGAGAGGGACCATTTTATTGCTGATTAATTGTACGGTGTCATTTCTATCGTTATGTTCTTGCATGCAGCACAATGAAATTCAGCTACTGGATTGTATAGAAATTAGATAAATAAAATGTTTAGGTTTGTTTTTATGGCATTCTGTTTTATGCTTACTGCTTCGATACTTGTGTAGAAAGCGGTGTATCAATCTGAATAAAATAAAGTCCTTTCCAGCAAATGACAGGGCTTCTCTTTGCTTCCTATTTCTCCCTTCCTGTGAGTCTGCTGCAGGGCTGTGGAAACAGAGGCCCAGGGGCCAAATCCAGTCTGCCCAGCTCCTCCAGCTGGCCATGTCCCCTTCACTGGCCCAACTGCCTGGCAGTTTCCAGCGTTTGTACAGTTTCCTCCCCATTCTAAGAGGTTGAAGTGCCTGTTCTAGGGCTGAATTACTAAGCAGCAAATATTTTAAGCTGCAATATGTTGCGGGGGGGGGGGGGGGGGGGGGGGGGGGGGCGTTGTTGGTTTTTGGCCCCACCCCTTTTGCTTTTGCCCCACCCACCACTGGAGTGTGGCCTATTAGAGTACTTTTCCAAAATCAAATTCAGCCTTCAGGGAGCAAAAAGTCCCCCATTTTTGCTGTACTCAGTAAGAATACCCTACGAATGCGATCAGCCACAACATATATGAAGGAAATGGAATTGCAGGAGGAGCAACCAGATGGAGCAGATAAAAAATGTTACCTACCTACTGTCAATTTCAGGGTTCCTTGCAAGGACAAGCTGGGCAATTTTGAATTCCTGCGTTCCAGCTCTGCTGTGTCCCCAAAACCTTTTCTCCCCCTCCCTCTCTGCCATAGCATAAAGACAAGTCCTTAACAATTTAGGGGGAAATTTTTCAATTTGATATTTTGAATGCACAAGGAGGGGGGATTGCAATGAGTCCTGGGGAATCCTTCTCTGAGAAATTCTTTTAGTGAGTTTGTAACAAACCAGCATACTGTGACTAGCTCAACAGTGCCCCTAGATTGTCTGATAAATTGGCATGACCCCAGAAAGCAGGCATTGGGTTATCTCCTTTTAATTTTCAATCCAAACATCATTTTTGAGAAAGAGAGAGAGAACCTAGTTGAAACTGGTTGTCTTTTTAAAGATACACATTTATGGTTGTTACAAGGGGGAATCTAGGCACCAAGTGTTTTTTGATTTGCTGACCAGGCTGCTTGCAATTAAAAAAGAAGGTGTAGCACAATCGAGAGTCACCGCTCATTCTCTTCCAGTTGAGAAGCCAAGGTGCTCTTCTCTCAGACCATCCTCCCTGCAAGGAGCTGTGCACTTGTGAGTCAGAATGGTGTGGTGAAGAGTGTAGACTGAGGGCCTGGGAGATGCAAGTTCTAGTCCCCACTTGGCCGTTAAGTTCCCTGGGTGACTGGGCCTGTTACGAACTCTCAGTCTAGCCTACCTTGCAGAGCTGTTGTTATGAGAATAAAAATTGAGCGAAGAACTATGTAAGCCACACTGGGGTCCTCACAAGAGGAAAGAAGGCAGACTATAAATGCAATGCAGTAATAATAATGCTCCAAAGCCTGATATTCTACTGAAGTGTGCAATATGTAAATAACTAAGGGTGTGAACCTAGGCCTTGCACCCTCAGTGGACACATGCCTCAAAGCTCAGAGGCTTCCTTGCATCCTATCCTCAGAATTTAGGTAAAGTTCTGTTGGGACACCAGCCTCCTCCCTTCTCCCCCATCACAGCACAGTCCATTTTGCTCCTCCGGGTCCCAGCTGCACCCTCAGCCAGGCATGCAGGTGCTACGATTCTTTCCATGGAGAGCTGGGCAGGGTCTCAGAGACTGCATGCAAATAGTCTTATGACCTCCCAACATCATCTAGGAGGCCATAGGGTTGCCCCCAAGTTAGATTTACCCTACTAGTTGGAATTCTCTGTGGTCAAATCTTTCCTTTCCCCTTCCTTCTTCCAAATAAACATTTTAATATTTGCATATTTTACTGTGTTCTCATTTTTATTAGATTTATATCCTGCCTTCTTTCTTACATAGAATTCAGAGTGGCTTACATAATTCTCCTCCTGTTGCTCTCAATCTTATACCCACAACAACCACCCTGTGAGGTAGGTTGGGCTCAGAGTCTGTGACTGGCCCAAAGTCACCCAGTTGGTCCCATGGCTGAGTGAGGACTAGAACCCAGATTGCCACAGCCACAGCCCTGCACTCTTAACCACTGCATCACACTGGCTCTAAAGTATTTCAAAGAGGAATCTCTCATAAAATCCCATGCTCATGTGAAGAATAGCATGGTTACAAGGTTACCACTGTGCCTTTAAGATTTTCACAGAGCTTTTGTTAATTTATATATCTGGTAGGTTTTGGGGCACAAAAAGCGTGATCATGTATTCATTTACTTGGTTTTTAATCCTGCATCATTAGTCAGAAGGTTCCCTGAACAGGCATTCCTCTTCCCTTGAGCTGAATCGAAGGGATGGTGGCTTGGCCAAAAGGCTCAGGACTTTCCCCAGCAAGCTCAAAAGAAGGGCAACTTCTTCCTTCTCTTTTCCCCTCCTATATTATTTATTTACTTATTTTATACTGATTTTAATTTTATATTATGTTTGTGACTCAATGTATTTTTTGGTATTTTTGTATTTTATGGTAATTTATTATGTTCTATTGTATTTCAATGTATTTTGTGTTGTAAGCCGCCCCGAGGCTTCGGCAAGGGGCGGCATAGAAATGTTGTAATAATAATAATAATAATAATAATAATAATAATGCCAAGAAGTTCAGCCTGACTGGCGGCTGCCTACCTATAATTCATGCTGAGGTGGGGAGGAACCAATGTGAAGAAGAGGCCTAGCAGGAGGAAAGCCACCCTCCCTTCCCAGATCCATAAAGCAGAGGCAGGCCACCCTGTCGTGGGTGGAAGGTACGTTCTACTCTTGCCTAACTTAGGCTCCCAAGTACAGTGCTTCGTTTCCCCCCAGAAGCAAAGAGCAAAAATTCACATACCACCAGGATAGGGCCTAACCTGCCCTCTGCTGCCCCTGAGGATCTTCGCCTCAGATAAACCTTTGCACGGCCCTTTATCTGTGCAAGCCCATCCTGTGTTGCATTTCTTGCTCATGAGAAATAGCTTTGAAAGAACAAAAACACCATCACTTGGCAGAAGCATCAAGAAGCACACTGGCTCAGACAAAGCACTGTCCTGTTGTCACTGCAGGTCACAGGAGGACAGGATTTGTAACAAGTGAAGCTTCCAGTAGATCCAGCAACTGAACTCAGATTCCACCCCACTCCATTCTTGGCTACAGTAACGCATCCTGCACCCCCCTCACCTGCAAAGTGGTTTCAAATACGACCAGTTTGGAGCTGGTGGGAATGGCATCGTAACAGCGGTGGCTCCGCATGAAATGCATGTAGGTCTCAGCATCAGGGCCCAAGAAATCAGTATCGGGACCAAACCCAAGAATTTCACAGTCAAGAGAAATGATGTCAGCATCACCTGCAGTGCTATCTTGTTTGAGCTTGGTGAGTTCCCTTGTAGCGGCTTCCGTGGCATCCGAACCAGAGCCGCCTCCACTCTGCCAGCCCACATCCTCAGCATTCAGTTTGGCTGCTTTGGCATCCCAGCCCTCATTCCTGACTCTCGGCATCGCGTCCTCATGCTGCGGCCTCACTTGCTTGTTTTCTGTAGCTGTGGGCTGTGAACCGGCGTTGCTGTCAGCTCCACCCAACTCTCTGACCTCCGGATTTCCAGTCTGGATATCCGGTTCTGCAGCAGTAGCATCCTCAGCTGTCACGCTGCCATCCTGATTTGCCGTCTTGGAATCCAGCACAATAGGGGTGGCATCCCAGTTCGTGGTCCTGCCACCTGTCATCACATTCATCATGTCCAGCTCTGCACCTTTGCCATCTGTAGCCAAGTCTTTTGCCTCCCGCATTACAACCTTGGCTTGCAAAGCAGATTCTTTCATGTCCAGAGAGAGGCCAGGGCCTAGTGGGTAAGGGGAAGCATGGCAAATTCTTGGTAGGTGAAACATTTAAGTAATCTTGGCCCTGGGGACTCACACAATTTCCCCTCATTCTGCCTCGGCCCACTGAAAGATCTGTATTTACAAAGTGCAGGCACACACATGCTGGGCTGGACCAGCCCGAGTTGTGCAGAGAATCAGCCAAGACTTGCACCAAGCGCACGGGCCAGCCGGCCACCTCTCATTACACCGCCCTTGCTCTGCAATATGGAGCACCCCACCCAGCTACTGTACAGCTTATGTCTTCCAACAAGCCACAGGACACACGCACCCTGGCTTCAGCTAAAGATGGTCTGTAGGCATTCTCCAGTTTCAACAGGGCCCCAAACTGAACAGATGAAGGGTCTCCTGCAACAGTTATAGTAGAGGAGAAAGTAAGGGGAGGAGGTAAATGACTTTATCTGAAAAAGCAGAAACAGCCCACAAATGGGCTCTATGTTTATTAACACATTTCTGTGGCACTTGAATTGCTTTATAAACTTTATTGAGTGCCCTCACAACAACCCTGTGAGGTAGGTCACCCGTATTCCCATTGACAGCTGGAAAACAGAGGGTGGAAGACACTGGGCTTCTCCAATGCCACCTTAGGAACCCAGGGGTAAGCCTGAATTTTGCACTTGGATCTCCCAGGTCCCCCCCTCTAGTCACTGCATAAGATGGCACTATACTGGAATTCACAGAACCAGCAGAACTGCAATCCACTAGACTAGAATAGCCAAGTGATTTGAGATCGAGGGAAAGTGGAATCTTGTACACAAGAGACTTCCCAACACTAGAATATGCCACCAAGTAGCTTAAGGTCAGAGTTGTAGCTCCACGGAGCTGGTGCTGCAGACATTAAAGAATTTTCCAAATCATATGTACTAAATTCATGCTGTTACTGATAAGCAGGTTTAGAAGCAGGTCCAGAACACCCGAGCGAGCAGTTAGTATCCAAAGCCATTTCCTGGTACAGCTGGCAGGAGCTCAATGGCTGGTAAGCAGTGGCGTTGGTACTTGGGAATGGTCACTCCACCCAAGGCAGGCAAAAGCAGTGCATTACCCACCTGCTTCCTGAGGCTGGAGGCCATTGCTCAGTGGTGCTGCCTGGGAGCGGAGAAACTGAGAGTTAAGGGGGCCAGGGCTAGATGGACCACATTTAACATGCGGGAGTTCAAAATGCAAGAAGTTTCATAACATGACAAGTGGGTGCTACAATTCTAGATTCTACACTGGAGGAGGAGCATGATGAGAGGGAACACCCAGTCTTCTCTCCAGGCCCAAACTGACATGCATTTAATTGCACTAAGCTACATTTAATTCCAACAAAATATGGGGGAAGTCTAAGAACAAGCAAACTATAGCTTTGCTTCTTTCTGCAGGCAGAACATGGTATTTCCTGCAGCCCTAGCTGGTTGCAGTTTCTCTCCTTCTCCTTACTGCAGGTCTGACATGTTCCTTGCAAACAACTTTGATCAATACATATGGAGGAGGCAAAAATGATGGATTTAAAGTCAGTCACACAGGCTTTCTTCTCTCTGAACATTCATAGTATTGTACCCTGTGGCTTGAGCAGGCTAACCATGTGCCCTCCTAATTTTTCCATGGTAGGGAAATGGTAGATTAGTTAGCAAGCAGAACATGATGAGTTGGGGGGGGGGGGGAGAATGTGAGAGGAATGGACCATCCAGCTCTTTTACATCCCAACAATCATGCCTGCAACCCTCCAGTTGGCACCTAAAACTAGTGGCTGTAAGCACTCTACCGTCTTGTCATGCTTCACAGCAATCCTCCCAAACCTGGCATCATCCAGATAATTCGGATTTCATCTCCCACCAGCCCCAGACAGCAAGGCCCATAATCAGAATTTCTGGGCCCTGTAGTCCAAAACTCTTAGAAAGCAACAGGTTGGTAAAGACTGCATCATACCATGAAAGGTGTTGGGGGAAGAAACTTAAGAACCATCTGATAAAACAAGAAGTGGAAAAGCTATCCTTGAGAGCCAGTTGGTGGTGGGGGTACTTGACAGCAGTTCAGGAAACCAGCATTTGAATCCCTGCTTTGCCATGAAGCTCATTGTGTGCCTTTAGACCAGTCACTAATCTACCTCAAAAAGTTGTTGTGAGGACCAAATGGAGAGGAGAAGGAAGATGCCATGCACACTATATTGGTCTCCTTAAAGGAAAAAATATAGGATATAAATGCAACAAACAAAAAACAAACACCCAGTCATAAACATAAGGCAACCAATCCAAACATTGATGCAGATATTTCAAAAGAGAAGGAAACCCAAATAAGAGAAGAATGCAATTGGACCCAGCCACTTGTCCAGGGAACAAACCCCAAACAGATACGTGAACTGAGCAAACATGTAGCCAAAAGCTCATACTTTCTCTCATCCAGATTCCAGAAAAATAAGACACAATCTGTCACCATGCACTCCCATCTTTCTTCTGGCCCACCTTTCCTTTCTGAATGGCTCAGTTCTTGGGTATCAGGGAATGGCTCCCTGGGTCAAGTCTGTACTGGGCCTTCAGCTTCCTGCTGACTGATGGAAAACAGATTCATGCTGGTAAACATAAACAATATTAAGAATATTGCCTTTGAACAAGGACAGCTGGAAGATGGCAGGAGGGCCAAATAGAAATGTGATCCAGGTACTACAAATCTCTCTTCATCTAGGGCTGCAGCATTTGGTTGATCGATCAATCAATCAATCAAAACACTTTTTAAATGTCAAGTCATCAGATATTAAAAATGAAATAAATAATTCATTATTAATTTAAGTATTTATAAAGCTAAGATTTTCAAAATTCAGTAAAATTGAAATTAAAATTTAAACACTGTTCAAGAGCACACATTCAGGAATTAAGAAGCGACTGCTCGTTCCTCTGTACCTTATTCATGTTAAACTGCAGTAATGTCAGGGTGGCCAAACAAGGTTTTTGTTTTCAATTCTGGCTGAAGTGAAGTGAAACCTACTGAGCTAGAAGAATGTTTGAGTCCCAAGAGAAATTAGAGAGGTAAGTGGCATTCAACACTATGATTCTCAGTTTTTCTTTCCTGTCCTGTGTCTTAGTTCTCTTACTTCTAAAAGGGATTTCCGATTTGCTAGGCACCTTTCCCTAGATCTCCTGACTCAGTCCATTCCCTATTCGGTCTACTGCAGACAAGGCAATCCAGTACACTCCAGATGTCTGGGCCTCCAATTCCTATTCTTCCCAACCACGTTAGCTGGAGCTGATGGCAGCTGCATTCCAAAACATCTGGAGGGCGCTTTGTTGCCATTCCAGAAAATGCAAAAAAAAAAAAAAAAGATTCCAAGCAAGGGGAGGGGAGGGAGCGAGAGGCGAAGGGGGAAAAAAAAGAAAGAAACAGCGAGCTAAGAAGGAAGCTACGGCATGCAGCTGTAAAATGAAAAATGCGAGGGGCCAAACACGAATGGAAGTCACACCTCCAGGGAGAGGGGCAGCCCGGGTGCATTCCGCACGCGCTCGTCCGCTGTTTACGATCCAGGACTGAACCGAGGCCCTGGAAACAGTTTGGGGGGCTCGACCTCGCCTCAGCGGGATCTTTCCCAGCCACCTCCCTTTTGCTGGACAAAGCAGGAAGTGTTTGCGGCAGGAAGTGAGCCCTGGGCAAGCAGGAAGGTGCTTGCTCGGTGCAGCTGCTCCGCAGGGTCCCTTTGTCTGCACTGCGCTCTTTGTTGTCCGCCAGCTCTCCGTCTCCGCGCCTTACCTGCTCCAAGGCTGGTGCCGGTGCCGCCACCCGCTCCATGCCGGGCCAGCTTCTATTTAGGGCGACTGGCCGACGAGCTTGACTGTCTGGCTGGGGCGGCGGGCTTGGCGCAAACGCGCACGTACACCGCTGGGAGGGAGAAGGGAGGGCCCGGCTGCCACCGCTCATCGGATGCCCGCCACCCACCGCAGCGTTCGGCTAGACCTTCCGCTGCCGGGCTCAGCGCAGCGCAGCGCAGCGCCGCTCGCAATGGCCGCCGTGATGCGGAAGAAGAAGGGCGCTTCGAGGCCCCGCTCGCGGCCCCACCCTTGTGCCCAGGGGAGATATTTGCAGCGGCCTGGCTGCCAGCGAGACTGGTGCAGCCGCGGCTCAGCACCGAGCTCCGCGCCGGCGGAGGCTGCATGAACGGCTGTCGCTGGTTTGTCCCGCCGCACCCAGCTCTGCTTTCTTTAGAGGGTCCCTCCCCTTTACAAGTGCGCCTTAATGAAACGTTCGGTAAGGGAAGCCGTGCCCGCCTGCGCATGGTACGGAGGGGAAAGAAACGCAACTTCATCCGTTTCATTTTTAATGCATGCCACAATATCCAATGATTTTACAATATTCCCAAAATTTAGATCATACTGTAATCTTACTGGGCACTTCCCCGCAGCGCATTTCCCTGGGGCTACTTCACGCCTTTTTATTTGCGCATTAGTTTCCATTCCACCCAATATCTCCAGCCTATTCTCAATTTATTTTGAGCAAAGTGAAGGCCATATACTACTCAAAGGCTGCTTATGCCTCTCCCTGCAGTCTCTCTTTTTGCAGTGTACTTGCTGCCAAACAGCAAAGTTCATGTCCTAGTTCCTCATTAATCTCAAATGCAATAATTGCTTTCCATTGCCTAGGAATAATTCACCTGGCTATTAAGCTCTGGAATCCAGCTGTTTGTCCATCAGCATCCATATATCAGAACCTAAAGCATGAAAAATGTAAGCATGCACACAGTATTAAGAACCACGGTGTTATTCTATCTATCTATCTATCTATCTATCTATCTATCTATACAACTTATATGCCGCCCCATCGCCTGAGCCTTGAAATGCTAGCCTGGAGTCAATGCCACCATGTTCAAATCCACCTCAGTGGATCCACCCATTTTACAGGGTTGTTGTGAGTATTAAATAGAATAGGGGAAGGTAGAATTGTGTACTTCTTTAAGCTCCTAAAAACAAGTTGGAATATGGATGTAATTTTTTAAAACTTGTTGCATTTCTGCCTTTTAGCTCTGACATGGGACTCTAATGGATTATGATCTCCAACCAAGGATTGAGAAAGCGTTCTGAATAAAGAGGGGTACTTTTTTTCTTTGCACAGGACCATGCTTATCTGGAAACAAACGAAATATGTACAACACATTTTTTTACACACAAAAAACAGATGGTTGTACTCCACTGAACACTGTGGACCAACTTGAATTCTTGAGAGCAATTCTGTTTTTCTAACCTGCAGGCCATGAATACAAAGAGTACTGTGAGGAGCTTGGGCAGGTGGAAGTCTTACACAAGGATGTCTTGTCCTGCTTGAGGGATCCTGTGGGAAGCTGGTTTGCCACCATGTGTATGGAGTGCTGGACTAGAGGGACCTTTGGTTTGGTCCAGCATGGCCTTTCTTATGTCCAATCCTAATTCTGCTAGGGTTGCTGAGCTCTACCATAAGGTCAGCAGTACCCAGAGGCAGTAGGACATCTGACCGTAGAACTAGTCAAAACTGGGGCACACACAGGCTAAGAGAGGAGAGAACAGTAAAGTAGGACATGGCTATCTTGTGCAAGAGATGGAAGCAATTTTTCTCTGGATAGAAATGTTCAGCATTATTTGATTAAAAGAACACAAGAGCAGCCCATCTGGATCAGACCCAAGATCCAGAATGCCTAGCCCAACCTTCTGCTTGCCCAGTGACCATAGCTCCCCTAATGGGAAGTCCACAAGCAGGACAGGAGTACAACAGCTCAGTTACCCCAGCATACTGCCTCTTGATTTTGAAGGTAATATAAAGCCAACATGGCAAGTAGCCATTTATAGCTGGCAAGGCCACCAGAAGCCAGATAAGATTGCGTGGTGGGTCTATATCTGGCCTATGGACTAGGTTTGCTTTCCCTGAGGTTGGCAGCTTGCAAACTATACCCAATGCCGCGATTTAGAGCTCTTGTGATTAATGTGCCATGAAGAGCTGTCTACAGATTATGATTGTACTGCAGTTGGAAACAGCCTTCAGGCTGCAGTAGGGTCAGGAGCAACTGTAGTGTATAGAGCAGCCTATTAGTAGAAATACTACTAGAAGCCCTACTACTAGTAGTAAAATTTAGTGACAACAGCCTGCCCTAAATTCAAGGTTTTGTTTTTAAGCTTCTGGGGAGCTTCTGCAGAAGCTCTGTAAAAATAGTCAAGGAACAGCTGAAGCTTAGAGGACAAGAATGGCTGAATTGTCTGAGGCTGACTTGACAAGGCAAACAGTTCTGATCTTATGTGCTCTTTAGTGGCTACTGTCCATTTCCAGAGCAATCTGAGGTGCTAGTTCTTACCTTTCAAACTCTGGCCCACAGAACCTCCGCATCCAAGCCTATAGAACCTCCTTGTGTTCCTTACAGCCTCCTGGAATAAACCTGGGTGTTACTGCTGATCAGGTAACGGACATGGAGGGAGCTGGGAGCAGCAGCTGCTCTTTTTCTAAGTACTGCCTGAGTCCTTGAGATGGCACATACTACCAAAGCCAGGAAGTCCTTTTCTTTGTGCTTAGAACCTAAACGGTTTAGGTTCCTCAGGATTTCTTCTCCCATATGTTCCCACCTATGTACTCTCATGAACACACCAAGGCCGTTCAATGAAGCAGGCGCAATATTGGGGAAGTTTCTTTCCCAGGAAGCCCACCTGGCCCTCTCTTCACTCTGATTTCCTTGCTCAGTTATGACAGGCTTTTGATGAGGTGCCTGAGGCAGACAACATGTTCCTTTCCCCTTTTGTATTACTCTGGGGCCACTTGCTTCCTATTATTTAACACCAGTACTTACCTTTAAATTCCCCATGAAACAGGCCCCTGTAAGACAAAAATGGTGTTTCTGAAGCTCTCCAGAGAAGCTTGCCTGCCACTTACAGATAGGACTTTTAATTTCTGAGGTTTTTTCACTCAGAAATGATGCAGAAATTTCATGCAACAAATGATCTTTAGTGTTGCCCCTAACCACGCTAAATTCTTCTTCTATTCTGTTTTGTTTGTATTGTGCTTTGTTGTAGCCCCCCCCCCCCCCCCGGTTAACTTTAATCGAATATAGCACTGAAAAATAGACATAGATACTGGGATTTAATGTTTTGCTTTATTTATTTTGCAGGAAACTGCTTTGAACTCATTGAAGAAAAGCAAGGCATATTTTTAAACATGTTTAAAAATGAAACAAACTGTAATTATGGCAAACACCAGTTGCCCCCTCAGGGTGCTACCTGAAGCAGGTTCTTTTTTTGGGTCAAAAAACTTTTTTTGGCAGGGAGAATTTTACCGTTATGCCCACTTCTGGTTCTTATCATCAGTGCCCTTTCTTTTGGCTTCTGAGCCACTCCACAAGCGTCCACACATACAGAACGTAGTCCTGTTGGGCCTGGGCTCCCTTCCCCACTGCCGCTGTGCAGAATTCCTGGAAAGTGAGTCAGGCTCTATAAAGAGCAAGTGGCATTCACCTCCCCTCTCAGCTTCTCCCACTACTTGTAGCCTGATCTCAGCAAGCACTGGAGGCCACGCAAGGAGATTTTCTCGACAAGCAAGGAAATGGTGTATAAGCACCTGCTGCCTGGGTCTCCTTTATCAGCACTGGCAACCTGTTCTTGCAAGCAAGAAAAATGATCTTTCCCAGGGAAAATCATTTGCTGCAGATGGAGGATATAAGCACCCAATTCTGTACTTTGCAGAACAGGAAATGAAGTTTCAGGGCGTGTTGCCTGCCTCTTTTCAGCAGTTAGACAGCTGCTCTGTACTGTAGCATTCACATGTAGTAGGGCATCTTCCTTTGGATCTATAATCCTTCTGCTGGATAGTCACAATCTCCAAAATACCTCCAAATTCCTGACGGTCCACAAGTAAGAGTAAGGTAATACCATTAGGAGGACCAATTGGATAACTGCCTCAATTTTGCCTGGCATTTCCATTCATGCTTCTTTTTCCCAACAGCCCCTGATAGAACCTGAAGTCTGCATTGTTGGTGGTAGGGATTTTCTGGCGGGGGAGGTGCTTTTCTGTCATGCTGAGTTTTTCTCCTCTTTTTGATAAAACCCTGTTTCCAGAAACTTTGTGCGGAACTGTATTGCTCCATGACATTCCAGTTGATCTTTAAAACGGTAGTAACTACTGTTAGCTTTGATTCCCCCACCCCCAAAGGACATAGGGAGTATTTTGTGCTTTAGCGAAGTGATGGTGTTGAGCTGTAGGAAAACTTGATTTGCTCACTCTTATCCTCTTATAGAGAATACAGCTTGTCTAGCAAACTACCGTACAGTTAATCTCATTGCTATCCCTGTAAAATTAAGTGATTGGCAATCATTTAAAAACTGGAATGGAAAACTTTGTACAAGTACAGTGGCCAAATGCAAAAGAAGTCAGGGCTCTTGCATCTTCAATAGTTTTGCAAAAGATAGAATTCAGCAAGAGGCTCATCTTTTTCATTTGGCCACCCTATATATAAAAGCATGGGCAAAATTTCAGAAAGGCAGATCTATAACTTTACCCTTAATTACTTCATTCAAAAATGTTAGAAGGGGGAAAGCATTCATTTCTTGCTTTTGGCAGTTAATTATATTAATGAAACATATCTTTAACCTAAATTCAGTGCAACTTAAAATACTTGCTTGGTTTGATAAAGTTGTATGTCTACTAATGGCTAGGGTGCAATCCTGTTGCATTTACTAGAATGTATGCTGCACTGAGACTTAGCTTTGAGCAAACCTATTCAAGATTATACAGAAAAGGCTGTGTACTCCCTCCTCCATCATTTAGAAACAAATACTTCCTAAATACTTAAAGACTGGTTAGGTGTAATCACCTTGCTCTGGCACAGTTTAAGCCACTAGAGACATTTCTTGCAGTAGGATTACATCCTGGGACTGTTGGCACAATCTGTCAGCAGTTCCCATTAGCTGCAAAACTTTCTTTGCTCCAAAGCAGAAATAGTGACAATCTGTGAGGTTACTCTAACACGCAGGTGAGGAACTAACAGCCCACATTTGTACTGTATAAGTGGGTCAAGAATTTTTTCAGTTAGGATTAATGGCCTGCCCATCAGTTCTGCTACCTACAGCTGCTATAGTTCTAGTACAGAAGAGGAGACTTCAGTGCATACTAATGACATTGGAGGAATTTCTTTATGTAGAAAA